AGAGATGCAAGTAATTAGAATCAGGTGTTCAAATGTGTTGAATCCATTCATTCAAACGCACACACACATGTATACATGCATGTATGTATGTATGTATGTATGTGTGTGTATACTGTGTATGCATATATATATATACATAATTATACATACATCGATCGTGAAACTAATATATGTGAGCGGCTGTGTTTATTTGGTGAAGTGAAGGAATAGTCTTGGGCGTACCCCGGCTTGTCGATAACACCATATAGTTAGTTAGGTTTCAGAACGAGGTAGGAACACCCCGAGAACGAGGCATTTCATGGGTAACATTTGGCTATGAATCATGAAAAACAAGTGCTGTGTTGGAGAACGAGGTCAGGACCCCAAAAAAGACATGGGAACGAGAGAGAGAGGAGAGAGAGAGAGAGAGAGAGTACAGATGTGCACCCACCCTTTGCATCCTTTAAATGAGGATTCCCTTCATGGGGTGGATGACCACACTATATTCATCCAATGTTCTGACCTTGTGCTTCAGCGCCAAGGTTGGGATGGAGTGACCCCTTCGAAGTCCATTCAGCTTTCCCAGATCTTACGCCCATGGAGCCAAGAGTGACACTGGTGGCTTGGCTGATAGATCACTCGGTTATCAGTCCTGGAACACCGCAAGCGACATTTTTTGTAAAGAAAGATTGAATGATTTGAATGCGACATCATTTGGCTGTTGAAGCTTTTGACATTCCTCTACTTTGGCGCTTGGTTTCTCTAGTTCACAAATCGGAGAAGTCCTTACAAATCAATCATATTTACAATCCTCATATCCCACACCTCCAAAGCAAAACACGCCAACTTTGCGATTGGCATTTCTTGGTATTTCAAGTCTGCGTATAGACAAAAGTTCAGACGTGCGGGTCATCAGCTGAAAGAAATGAGGCTTCTGGTGAGATAGCCGGGCCTGAAGCGATGATGCTGCCTCTGGATTTTTCAGCTTGGCCGCCCAGTGGGCGGGCAAATCACATGGCAAATGACAAACAGGGCAGTAATTATGCTGCAGTTCCAGATGTTCCAGATGTTCCAGATGTTCCAGGATTTCAAAAGTACTCCAGTTGCATTTCAACTTTTTAGCCTTGTGATGCATTGTGGATTCTCCACGCCGCAGGGTGGTGATCCCTTTGGACCCGGCGGTGCAGCTGAAGGGAAGGACACTTGGCCAAAATTCCCGGTGCAAACAACTTTTGGCCTAGCACATTCCGTGCATCGAGAAATATCGAGAAAATCCAGAAGATTGATGAAGCACATGGCCATGCACAGCACTCAACACCCCAGGAAAGTCCGTTTCCGTTGACCTTCACCTTCAAGCTTCCGGTGGCGCCAGGGAAGGACTGCTGTGCGTTGCTTCATGTTGCTTCTCACCCAAGATGTGATCCCTGATTTTTCATTGCGTACCCGCAAAGTTGCTGAAGGCAGAATTCTTCAAAGAGGAAGAGGCAAAAACGGAAGAGAAGAAAGAAGAAACGGCACCACCTGAAGAGACTAGTCCCTAAGCTGCACGAAAACTAAACTGCTCATGTTTTCGAACACATATATAAATTGAAGATTCGTTTTCGGAATCTCTTGCCAAAGCTTCGTAGTCAAACATAGCAAGGGCGTTTGAGCATTCATGATGCGAAAATACACAAGATCCATACCGGCGCAGGGGATCCAAGAGGCATGCAGGACATACCTTCAAATCACCTTGTAGAGCTTGCATGAAACATGCAAATCAATACTGACGTGATACAATGATTCAGCATAAGATTGTATTCACAATGTTTCTTACAATTTCTTACAAGTCTTACAATTTCTTACTTGTACGATTTCTAACATTTGCATACGTTTGTTGAATCAGCACGATTGCATACAATGTCGTTTCATATCTCAAATAATTTCGACTATATAATTTCTTGTCACGTTTTGTCAAAAAACATCCGAGCTGCCTGGCGAGGTGTTGATGCGGAGGAGAAAGAGGAGGTGAAGGAAGGCAAGGAGGACGAGGAAGCTCCAGACGCTCGGCATATGCTCGGCTTTTGCGACCTGTGGCTGTTGGTGCTGTTGTTTAGCCCATATAGGGATGGGTCAAAGCCTATTAATTACCATATACCTGGGGGAACACACATCCATTAACCAGCGGTTTTGAGGTACCTAAACTACCAGGGGTTTTGACCCTTAGCCTTCAGATTGTCATGAAAACGACATGGTCAATTTCCCTGGGAGGAAATCAGCAATCAGCTGCAACTGGGGGATTTGCCATTGCCATTTGATATCATTTGATATTGCAGAGGGTGAGCATGGGCATAAGCCTTCTTCAATATCACACACGAGCAAACCGATGCATTTCCACAGGTACGGGAAATGCGGGGGGCCTTGAAGTGTTATTTTGAGGTGAGACTTGAAGCTATGAACTATCATGACTAATGTGATGCACTTCCTGAATATCATGACATACTGATATACTTGTGTTTCAGCAAAATTGTGGATAAAGATAATATAAAGAACACTTCTACTTATACTAGATACGCATGCCACGCCGATCCATGCCGCAAGATTATTAATTATATTGTAATGATTAAATGCCCCGGCAACACGATCAGCTGCTTGAGTTGCGTTCCAACCCCAAGGGTGAACATGAAGGAGAAGACCCTCCAAAAGAGGTTGGCAGCTGACTATGAGACTATGACTATGACACTTCTGAGAGCCTTTCCGCATTTGTTTCAGCTTTCTTCTGACCAACAGAAGATGTGTCAGATATGTGCTCACATGATCATGTGTATGATCATCGTATGATCATGACTGAAGCTGGTAGCATTTGGTCGCATGGTGAACTTTGCCCATGACAGGCAGAAGTGAAGGTCACCATCGAGGCACGGCTCGTAGCTCAACGGAGCAACACATCAAAGTAAACAGCGGTTCAACACGGTTCAACCGGTTCATGTTGACTCGAGGATTCTTCCGGTTCTATGAGAATTATGTTCAATTATGTTCCACTATGTTCTCTGTGAGGAATTTTCAGAAGCAAATTGAAACAGCAGTCTTACCGAAACTATGTCCTGCAATTGAGACCTAGTGTGATGACATGCCACTGCTCCCTGATGTGTTTGCCACACCCATTGTCGAGTGTTTGCCGCCGCGGCAGCGTGTTAGGAAGCTCAAGAGTGCATACAAAAATTGCTGGCTGTGCCGGGCATTTGCGTCGCCACTTGAAAGCAGTGCAGGATGGTGCTGGATGGTGCTACATGGTGAGCAAACAAGGGAACAGCAACGCACACCTCCGCAAGCACATAAACACCCATAAACACATGTGGAGATCTGGACATGTAATTATATGAAATGTATATATATATAATTAATAATAATTAATAATAATAATTCATAATAAAATTATAATAGAATAATTACATGTATGCATAGAGGTGATTTGACGTGTGATGGTCAATTGATCAGAAAAGGACGCAAGGAGGGCCACAATTTACCACGTGTCTGAAAATGCCGTGTTTTGGAGGTTTGTTTGAATTGATGGTCATATCAGTCATATCCTTGCCTTTGGAATCCTTTGGATACCTTTGGTGAATCGTCGTAAATTTTCGCCTCAACTCGCTGAGGCCTTTCATCATCCAAAGCCCCAGGCGAGTCAAGTCCAGGAATGCTTTGGAGCGAGAGGAAAGAGCTGCTGGCAACACTGCCAGGCAGGGTTTAAGTGAAGCATTGCGCCATGGGCCAGGTACCAGGTGACTACGCAGAGTTTGAATTCTCCACCGATTCTTGGCCGCTCTCATCTTGCGCCAGGTAATTATTACGACACCGGAAGTGTTTGATTTTTTCCAAGCAGACTTCATGAGGTCGGGAATGAGGTGACAAGAGATTTCAGTACGACTGATCAGCTATGATCAGCTGAGCCAATTTGGACTGAGGATGGAGATGGAGGTGACAAACCAGACAGGCGCTGGGGAGTCCTTGTGTCTTGGCAGAAATGCTTGCCATCGTCACACGTCACACATCGTCACTAGTTCCAGTCCAATTTGAGGGGTGCTGCTTAAGGCACTGATATTGCCCGCACCGGTTGAAGAGACCGCGAAGACGAAGGCCCAAGCGGGGGAATGTGGCTGGAGCGTGAGAAGCTGACCGCTTAGAATGGACGCTTCTGCCCAGACTTGATTGCTTCATCTCGAAGCGTTCTTTGTTTGGTCACATATTGACACTGAAATTGGCTTCTGCACTGCATGAAACACTGCTAACATGTGTAAAAACTTTCTGGTAGCACGTGACATTGAAGTCTGCGGCAGGTAGAAGAGTTCTTGGAAACGTGGGCGCAAACTCTGGTCCGCGCCAGTGGAACCTTGGAGCAGCCTCATGCAACTCAGCTTTATCAGGAGTTACATGTTGTTCTGACTTCTTGAAACTTGTTTGACTTCATGTTTTCAAATCACTTTTCAAAAGATTGAAGAGGAAACTATGTTTAACACAAAGATTCAAAGAAAGGAGCAAGGTTGAAGACAATATTAGAGGATACATTCCACAGGATACATGGCTTTGTCGGAACATGGAGCATACTCCAAAGTTATCATTCTTATGAGGAACATGAAACGTGATTTATATATAATACACAAACATATTTATATTAACATGAATAAATAAATTATATACATATATATATATAATCATATATACATATATGCGTATATTAGTATATATATAAATATGATTATATATGATATATATATATATATACATCTTGTACATACGTACATACATACGTACATACATACGTACATACATACATACAGACATACAGACATACAGACAGACAGAGAGATGGATGGATAGATAGATAGATAGATAGATACATCGATCGATAGATCGTTAGATTGATAGATCGATAGATCGATAGATCGATCGATCGATTGATGGGTAGATAGGTAGATAGGTAGATATAGGTAGATAGGTAGATAGATTAGATAGATATGATATAAGATAGATATAAGATACAATGCGATACGATAGATAGATTGATTGATTGATAGATTGATTGATTGATTGATTAGATAGATTAGATAGATTAGATAGATTAGATAAGATACGATAAGATACGATAAGACAAGATTAGATAGATTAGATAGATAGATAGATGGATGGATAGATAGATAGATAGATAAATAGATAGATAGATAGATAGATAGATTAGATTAGATTAGATTAGATTAGATAGATTAGATTAGATTAGATTAGATAGATTAGATAGATTAAATAGATTAGATAGATTAGATAAGATAAGATAAGATACGATAAGATACGATAAAATAAGATTAGATAAGATTAGATAGATAGATAGATAGAGAAATAGATATGTATACGAAAAATATCATAAGACAATATAAAGAAGGAGTTGATTTGCGGTAATTTCTGGAGGTCACATGCAACTTGACATGTGCTGTCAACTCCGCAGGTGGAACGTGATGCCTGGGATGAAGCCCGGCTTCGAGCTCTTTGTGCTCGTCATGGCTGGGAGTTTGAGTGGATGACAGCAACTTGGCATTAAAGTTCAGCACGTAGATCAAATAGACATAGTCATCATGATGATAATGCTAATAGTAATGATAGATAAGATAGATGAGATATATGAGATAGATAAAAAGACAAACAGCCAGCACTGCCCTATCACAACCATTCATAGAAAATGACCAACGGATATGTAAGGAGTAAAGGAGGGACAAGGATGCGTAAGGAGTATGTCGGAGGTGGCCCAGAGCTTCCCAGAGCTTCCTCCGTTGCAGGAGGATGGAGAGCGACAGCGGCGAGCTCGAGAGCCTTTGGGATAGCAAGAAGCTGATGGAATGTGTGAAACAATGGTTGAGACAAGACCAGGGATGCTGAAAACATGTGAACATATGTGACCAATGTGAACAACATGCCAACTTCACTTAGGGTTTCCAGCCAAGGGATTGGTTGGTTTATACTTTATATATATATATATGTACATATATGTGTATATATATATATATGTATACATATATATGTATATATATATGTATGTATATATGTATATGTATGTATATATATATATACACGGTACATGTCAGGTTCACATCGACGATGTGCGCCCAGGCAGTGGGACGTCCTAAAGTTGACCACCACTGCACTCCCAAGTGATCCGGCTGAGCCGGATGGCAGTACGGGCGCGTGAGTGCGATCAACATGATCATATTATAGCATGTTAGATATTGTTAGGTTATATGTTATATCATGGTATGTCATTGTCTGTCATGGTTTATCTATGTAAAAATTGTATAAATTTGTTGGATTCCTAAAGCAGGCTTACCGCTTACCGTCTCACCCAGTATGAGTGGACGCTTCATTTGAATTAATGGATGAAGCGCGGGCTCATACCATCAAGGAACAAACCAAAAACATCCAAACAACAGCATATGAGTATCGGACAAAATTATTAGCATTTGAAAGTAGTAATTAGAGAGCTGCTTTGAACTTTGCTCGCCTTTACGAAACCTTCACAACCGATAGGGGACGACCCAGCACCGATACCCCTAGATTCCAACACCTTCCCACAATAATAATCTGGAGTAGGGCGTTTATTTCTACAGCAGCGGCTACAAGCAGGGCTGTAAAGAGCTACGTCAGCTAGCTTTCTCTTGGAGAGCACAAAGTATATTATTTGCGGCAATTCATGCACCATTCTTACCGATACCTCAACCGATACCAACCGATACCCAATTTTGCAATTTTCTTACTTGCCGAAACCATGTCCCACGTACTACTTTTACTGCTACCGCTTCTCCTATACTACTGCTGCTGCTACTACTGCTACTAGTAACTACTACTACTACTACCACCACCACCACACTACTACTACTACTACTTCTACTACTACTTCTACTACTACTTCTACTACTTCTACTACTGCTACTACTATTATTTTATTTCTGTTTCTAGTTATTTTAGTACAACGAGCAGCACTTGCTACTGGATGTTATCAAAGAGCGAACATCTTCAAAACCGATAGGGGACGACCCAGTTTCGCCCGTGGCAATTACGGGGAACAAATAATTTTGTCCGCCATTCATATGATCAGTGCTGGTAGCCACAGGTGTACCCACTCTGACAGCATTGCACTCGTTTGGCCCAAAGGTCGTAGAGAAATGAAATATCATAAACATAGCACAAGAAAAACAACCACAGCCTGGTGCATTTTGGCTTCCTTGGTGCCGTTAACCGTTACCGCACAAAATCCCGGAGGATGGAATCAAGGTCTCACACCATTTGCGGTGTCTTGAGATGATTTGAGATGTCTTGAACATCTGGGTGCGACAGAAAAAGGGCGGCAAATTTCTGCGCCAGTGCCGCCGGTGCCCCGTCCGCTGTTGGTTCATCGTTGGGATGACCTGGGATGACCTGGGATGACCTGGGGATGACGGTGCCGAGGACGAAGCTGAAAAGCATGCAGGTCAACTTCTGGAGGAGCTCTAGACTAAGTTGAAGCGATTGGACATGGAATACATTGATTTATAATCATTTATATGTTCTGCAGTATTGATTTACATGATGCTTGGTTGGACAGGCTGTCTCTAATTATTCCAGGTTCTGATTATGTAGGCACACCTTCTCGCAGTGAAAGCGAGAATGATAGGTACAGGTTACAGGTTTTCCTTTTTATCGTAGACAAGTTCCATCATGTTCCATCCTTCTTCTGTCACAATTCGAGACTGTTTGAACACTTGGCTCTCCTGGTCCAAGCTCATGCATTTGCTGTGTGCCATACTCTAGAATTTTCAGAGTCCTGAAATCTGGGAGGAGCTTGAACTGGAAGAAGCCAGGGCAGCCGAGGTGCATGATTTGAGTTTTCGACAGTCTAAGTCTAAACCATTTGCTTCAAAGCGGTATGACATTGTTGTCGGAACGCTTCACTGGTGGTGCTTGCGTCATGTGTTCGCCCGGTTTGCAGAATGTGCAAACCGCGACACGCGACACATGCAGCCACGTGCAGTCACGTGCGACAAGGTAAAGAAGACGCTCCAGAAAAGCACTGAAGATTTGGAGAGAGATGCATGGGCCCAAAGTTTTTGCTGGAACGCACAGCAACAACATGTTCGCATAATATGTTGGTATTCGTTGGTGCATATACTGTACATATGTGCACAATTACCATAATTGTGCGTATACATATGCATATATGTGAATGATATGTGTGTTAGATATTGTTTAATTACGTTAAGAATTCTCAAGAAGATGATGTCAGAACGCTTTTCAGTACGGCAGGCAACTTGATGTAGAATTTGGGCGATTTGGGTCAGGTGGCAGCGAAGCAGACCGAGTTAGCAGAGCTCAAGTTACAGACGGAGGAGGCACAGAAGTCCTGTTCAGAGCCGGTGGGGGCCCAAGCTGAGCAGATCGCAGAAAGTTCATGAAAGTTCTGCCACAAGACAACCTTGTCAAACTCCCTGTTATACCCGGTTTCTCTTCAGATGTGACTGGTTTGCAGTGTTGTGATCTATCTTATGTATCGTTGGATTTCTATCTTGAAATCTTCGTTCCAGCGCTAATCTACTGGGCCCTAAGTGTTCGTTTGTTGCAAATCGTATTTACAGAGGAGCAAACTCGCAGTGCTCGTCGGAAGCTGCTGGAGGACTGGCGCATTGATGGTGGTCATGGTGCTTCTATGTATGGTGCTATTGGTTCACAATATATCTAATCCAACTATCGCGAAACAAAGACTGATGTCCAACATGTCCGACACTGAGGGGCGTGTGTGTGTGTGTGTGTTTGTCGGTGTGTGTGTGTGTTTGTCGGTGTGTGTGTGTGTGTCTGTGCGCTGCTGTGGTTGGCGATGAGCCATGTTTTGGTGACACCATTCTTGGAGGATCGGACTGCAGCCCTTCAAACAGCCGGGCCAGCAGGGACAGAGACTGACAGAGCAGTTTCCAGCCAAAGACGCTTAAAGTTTCTCAATGCGGCCCCTTTTGTGTATTACTGATGTCCCTTCCGCAGGAAGAGTATGATCACCTTAAATACCTGAGTTTAAGGTAATTCAGTTTGATCATGTTAAAGCCACCATTCAGTTTGATGATGAATCATTCAATTTTTTGATCGGGCAATTTATTTCAGCCAGCTGTGACCAATTCCTCGACCACAGCTATGACGGCTGCAACAACTGAGGCCTCAGCCAGAGCCAAAGAGCTGGCTGAGGAGCGATAGACTGGGTCCTGTGGGTGGCTTTGGCAATGTAACTACAGACAATATCTACAGTACACACATGCATTATATATATATAATATGTTATGCATATTATATGCATAAGAAATAATAAGACATTATATAAATAGTAAATTATTCATATATTTATTCATACTTATTCAGCATCTGTATAGCCTGTATGGATGGCTGGATTGATGGATGGATGGATGCACCGATGGACGGACGGATGGATGGATGGACGGATAGATGGATGGATGGTAGATCAGAGAGAGAGAGAGACATATATATGCCAGGCTTTTAAGAAACTGTGTAGCTATGAGCCATGAATGATTGATACAGCACTTGAAGAGAACTGCATTGAAGTGAAGAGGTGTGGCTGGTGGTGATACTTTCTGACCCACTTGTTATGCCCAAGCTTCAATTGGGCTTTGAAGCAACTTTGAGGGAATGCCCTGAAGGATCCTGCAGGCCATTTGGTGGCTGGAGTTGTGGGTATGTGGGTCTGGCAAATTTGTCGTAAATGTTGTGAAGGAGCTGCAAGGAACTGAGAACGACCTTGTCCGGGGGACCAAGTCTTGACTGGATGCTGTAACTTTTTCGACCTAGCTTCACAGGAAATTCCTTGATGCAAGATGATGCAAGCATGTCCTTTGGTTCTATTATGTTCTATTGCATGTTCGCAGAGGGCTAGATGAAGCTAGAAGGTACTTTCTGATATACAATTTGTGCAATCCTCAATCCTGCGGCACATGGCATGGTGAAGGCGAGAGCAAACAAGGATCTTGAACAATTGCAGGAGGCCGGCCAGACCTAACGAAACTGCAAGATCCTAAGTCTCTCTTTAGATTTTTGGCTGAAGGATGTGTGCTTCACAACATTTCACAACCGTTGTGCTCATACCAAGCCTTTCAATCGTTGTGATCGGAATATATCGGAATCGTGGTTCTGCTCCTCAACCCCCTCAATCAATCCGACGATCAGAGAGAGAGAGAAGGTCCGCAAGCAGTTCACTTCCAGTTCTGATGATACACCTTTGCATCCTTTGCGCAGGAGGAATCTGACCGTTCTAAAGAGCTGGAAGATGCGAGGCGGCATCACCAAGTGCCAGAATCATCGCGGGAAAAACGTCGGTGGTTTCTGACCATTTCTGACCTATTGTCATGATATTGAAGACATTTCTTTACTGAGGAGACTGGAAAGTTGAATGAAAGTTGGCAGGGCAAAATTCCGAAAGGTCCTGATGCTGTTTGTTTGTGAAGTGTGGAGGTCAAAGCTCAGCGAAGTTCAGCGTGAGATGCTCTCCCTTCAGGCCAGGATTAAGGTTGGATTTGGTCATAGCTGAGTGGTGGAACCATCTAAACTGATTTAACATGTCATTAATTGGGGCAGTTAGATTGCAGTTAGATCTTTTGATATCTCTTTTGATAACTTTCGTCTATAAATGCTGTAAATCGGCGATGTACTTTTGATGACACCTCGAGCACTGTGAAGCTGCCAGGCACAGGTCCAGCCATCAAGGCAAGGCCATGCGGGCCATATGAAATAGTTACAGTAATTACAAATATAATCAAATATATTTATATATTGTATATAATTAGTACAATCCTGGCAATATAAATGTCATATAATGTAATAGACAACAATATGATATAGTCTAACTTAACTTCACATTGTATACCATGTATACTAATATACAGTAATATATATATTATATATATATAAGCCCTCAGCTATCCAGAGGTTTGATACCGGTATTTGATGACACAAGAAGATCGCAGTGCTAATAAACATCGGATGAGTCTAGGCAAAACTTGGAGCCAAGATCAGCAGTAGGAAGGGTAATCTTGAGTCAAAGCAGATCCCTGTTGGCTCTACAAGTGTAAAACATTGTAAAGCACTGTTGCCCTTTTGCCTCAGCTCTCTTGGTCAAAGTTCATCATGCAAGCTCTGACAAATCCAGCTATATTAATTACAATTACATTGCACGGACGCCTGGGTGCTTGCATACATTTGCAGTTTTGGCTCTTCTCAACGGAACAAATAGCACTTGCTAGTGTGCGCAGCACCGACGCTTCTACAAAGCAGCATGGCTGCATGGATTGGCTCCGCTATCAAGGTTGCCATCGGCAGTAGGTAGCCATAAAGGGCCTTGAATTCCGCTGTTGCATGATGTTACATTATGTTACATTGTTACATGTGTTCTTTATACATTTATACATGTTTGTTTTCCGAACAGTATAGCTCAGGGGTATCAGCCCAGAAAGGATATAGCGACGGACATGCACTTAGAACATACTTTGGAAAAAAAACTGAAAATCTTCACAGCGGGGATGTTCTAAGTATGGATTTCAAAAAAAGTAGTTAGAACATACCCAAAACCTATACTTAGAACATTTCCAAGCTATACTTAGAACATCCCAGTGGGGAACCAATGGGAACCATACATATATGTATAAATGAGGCATCTCCAAAACATTCAAAATTTTTCACGAAAGGTAGCGTCAGCTACCTGAGTTCTCCGTGCTTCAGCACAAGCTTAGGGGGTATTGGGGGGCCAGCCCGTGCAATTCATGGAATTCTCGCCGTTATGTATTGGATATCAATTATGAGGGAAATGGTCATGGGTTCAATTCCCACGGGTGACGCGGTCACGGGCCCCCACATTAGAGGCACACTTTCCATGAGGGAGATGTCCCTGTAGTCCTGCTTCAGCCTCAATAACAGTTGCTGCAAGGGGTCTTAAAAAGGGGTTTTAAATAAACCCCTTTTCGTGCATCATTTCACGCAGCACAAGGCACAGTGTCATGCAGTCATGCTCTGGATAAAATCATCTTAGACTGCGCAAAAACGTTTTTGGTGTATCATCTTAGGGGCGCAGCATTTTGACACCACTCCTCTCCCACTACACTACCTTTCGTCCGCCTCCGCCTGCTCTCAAGTATATACTATACTGTAATTCATTTTAGCTCATTTTAGTATTGAAGCCTATGCTTTTTGACTACCCCCTGTAGGAAACCCACAAATTACTAGAGACCTTCCCATTGCAGCAAAGACTGCTTGGGATATTGTTCCCGAAGAAAAGGTATATAATGCTGCAGCAGTGAGGGGAGAAAGTGTTCTAAGTATGGTGTTCACCAAGGTATTTGTGTGTATATATGCAGATTTACCAAAGTAACAGGACATGTTCTAAGTATATGTGTGTTTGAATGTTCTAAGTATGCAAAAATCAAAGGAGATGTTCTAAGTATTTGTTTTTCTGATGTTCTAAGAAGAGGTTCCGATATTTTGGAAAAAATATGTTCTAAGTATATGTCCGTCGCTATAGAAAGGTTCAGTGCGGTTTCTGGTGCCGTTCTGGGTGGTTTTGGAGGTTCTGGTGCCGGTGCGCTGGGATGGTTCTGGGGTGGAGATTTCGGTGCAGGTTCCGGGTTCGGTTCCACTTCCAGTGTGCAAAGCACTAGACAGCTTTAATCAGATAGCGCACTGGCTGATGTCGGCAAATGTCACACACTTTCCTACCACCTTTACTGTTGGGGGTGCTGGGCCTATGCTGCAGAGAAAGCCGGGGAGCTACGTCACAAAACAAATTCGCTTTGCAAATACCAGCGCAAAACAGAGAGAGAGAGAGATAGACTGGTTGCTGATGGTTCGTTGTGCTGATGGTCACTGCTATTCAGCTACTCAGGATGGCCTCTACGGATGTGATGCCAATGCCTGTGAGCCTCCCCACCAGCGCGGGAACTCGCGAGGTACATCTGCGAAAGGGGGAAGAACTTGGGAACTTAAAGTCCCACATCCACACGCACCATTTTCATCCATTTGTTTTCGCCCTTTGGGCTTGAAACACGAATCAGAGGGAAGGGCTTCACTCCACCAAATCAATCCAAATCATGTAGTACATTGATATACAATGATTGGCTGTATACTGATACTATCTGATACTATTGATTTGCTATATAGCTGTATATATTGATATATTGGTCATATTGCTATACACAGTATCAGCTATAATGATTGGCTGTATATTGATTTGCTATTGATTTGCTATTGCACTAGGCATCACAAAAAAGGCGCCTGTGAGATCCTGTCAGCTCCACAGGTCTTGGACCTGGCAGATCCATTGCTGAACCTCCAGAAGCTTGATGATCCCAAGGCCGTAACGGAGCTTGGCAACGGTGCTCGGCCGTAGTATTTAAAGCATGATTTTGGCCAAGATGCCCAACGGTTGAGATGTCAGGTGTCCATTCACCAGTGCTCCCAGAAGTACGGGCGCACACCTCAGCTGATAAACCTTCACATGACCTTGTTTCATTTGCAGTTTTTGCAGGTTGGACACAGATATGATATATACATACATATAATTATATATATATAGAAACCATATACATGATACCATAATATGATATCATATATATATATATAATATATTTATGTATATAAAGTTTTACTATTCACTTTCTGCATCTTTGTTCTGAGTCCCAGCACCTTGGCGCTCAAGGCCGCAGGCGATCCGCAGCATCTTCGAGAAATTGCAGGAACGTCGCAAGGAGCCTGAGTGCCCTGGCGAAGGTCGAGGGATTTTTTTTTGTTTTTTTGGGGGTGGTGACAGTAGTGACTCATGAGAAGATCTTCATATTGTATATAAAAAAATAGATAGAGTTAAATTGTATATATTTTACATTACATATTAACAAGTAAGTTATTATCTCCATGATTAATGGTTACTATCCCACTATGGGATGGTCAATTTGGCATGTAAATGTTTGAATGCAGACACACACACACACGCATATATATATATATTATATTTGTAAAACATGTAGATAAATTGGCAGTATGAATACACATGGCAATCTCAAGCAGTTTCTGCCATGGAGAGATCACTCAAGGTTCGAGGAGCTCAACTTTTCAGACAACCACATTGGAGATGAAGGCTGGGTGTTTTGCGCAGCCACATCTCGAAGCCGCAGCTGTGGACCTGAAATTTGTCCATCAATCTGCGTACGCTGAAAGTCACAGGTGCTGAGTGCTTGAAGGATGGCCTCAAGAACAACCTCACTTTGAAACGTGGCCCAGCTGAATTGAGTCTGCAGATGTGGGTTATGGTTGTCAGCATCTACCCTCCGGTAATGAAGCATAGAAATCAGAAACTCAGCATTACTGTATCATATTTATCATTGTTACTACATTTACACTATTAGATTTATTAGTTTCACATTTATTGTCATTATTACTATATTAGTGCTATTATTATTGCTGTTATTAGCATCATTATTCTTACTATTAGTGATTACCTCATTATTAATTGGCATGCATAATTGTCATTTTGTTTGTTATCATTATTGTTATTACCATTAATTAAAATTATTATTCATTACCATTATTATTGTCCATGTAAATGCCCACTGATGGGGAGTTTCCCATTGCCATGCTTGATTACCGGAAGGGTAATAGGTTTGACAGACTGATGTTCAAACTCGAAGAAGAGTAAGCAGAGGTTCAGTGGTTCAGGCTGCATTCCACATAGCTTCGAGAAATGGTTCCAGACACAGAGTTCGAACGTGTCAAGACACATTCCCGGAAAAAAATCAAACACGAATTACTTGAGTATCTTGAGTGCCAGTTGAAGGAAGGTCCCTGGCACTGCCGGGTCTCCAAACATGTCCAATTTGAGAAAAGTCAAGCAGAGTCAAGCATGTGTGTGGCCGGAATTATGTCAAGGGCTCAAAACGATTCCAAACGCAGTTTTTCCCAAGGTTTACACATCCCCCAGGACACAATGATATGCCTCCATTGGAACTTTTTAAGCATGTTTGCGTGTTAGCATTTAGATACACTTAGATGAACTCCTTCCAAAACTCTTAACCTGCCTTTGACCGAGGTCTGTTGATGCCGCGAACAGGCTTGAAGACCCGGGGCTTCCAATGCATGGGCGAGTTGTTGCAGCACTCTTCCACCCTCGATCTTTGGCAAGTTTCAGCACTCTGTTTTCTCAGACATTTTTCCAGATTCCAGTGGCGTTGAGGCCTTTTTTACTGCTCTTTATTCGATCAAGTATCAAAAACACATCAATTTTTAGGGGGGGTAACTTCTGGATGCTGCCTGAGCCAACCAACATCCCAGGAGATGTTGGTGCTTAGCTCCAACATGGCAGATCCGAAGGGTGTGGAGGGCAGCTTCATGATAGGCAGGATGGCTAGGTTGCTGGGTGGATGCACATCATTTGGAGAAGGTGGAGATAAATGTGTGCAAAAAATATATGTATATATACACATTATATATATAATGTTGGATCCTGATTAGTGTAGGCCCCCTAAACAATTCTTGGAGTCTCTTTAGTGTGGAAATTTCCAGGGACCGGGGTTTGAATAGTGTCGACGTGAAAAAAATGACAGATTTCAATTGATTTCAATTTACTTTCAATTGATTTTCAATTGATGTCAATTTACTTTCAATTGATTTCAATTTACTTTCAATTTATTTTGAATTGATGTCAATTGATTTTCAATTGATTTTCAATTGATTCAATTGATTTTCAATTGATTTTAATTTACTTTTCAATTGATTTCAATTTACTTTTAATTGATTTTAATTTACTTTCAATATAGATTTAATAGATTTTTAATTGATTTCAACTTACTTTCAATTGACTTTCAATTGATTTCAACTTACTTTCAATAGTTTTTATTTTATTTTCAATTTACGTTCAATTGATTTTCAACTGATGTCAACTTACTTTCAATGGATTTTTATTTGATTTCAATTTAGTTTGAATTTATTTTCAATTGATTTCAACTTATATACTTTCAATTGACATCCCATAGTAATCCCATAGAAATATCATAGAAGTCCTTCAGGAATACCATAGTAGTCCCATAGAAATATCATAGAAACATCATGGAACTCCCATGGGAATGCCATGGGAATCCCATAGGAATCCCAAAGAAATTCCATAGAAACATCATAGAAATACCATAGACATCTCATAGGAACCCAATGGAAATCCCATAAGAATACCATTGAATTCCCATAGCACCCCTTCAGAAATCCCATAGACATCCTCTAGAAACATAGAAACATCATGGAAATCCCATAGGAATCCAGTGGAAATCCCATAGACATCCTTTTGAAACCCCATAGGAATCCATAGAAATACCATTGACACCCCATAGAAATCCCATAGTAGCCCCAGAGAAATATCATAGACATACTATAGGAACCCCACTGGATTTCCAATAGAAATCCCATATCATAGAACCACTATAGAAATTCCAAAGAAACCTCATGGAAACCCCACAGAATTCCCAAAGAAATACTCTAGAAATATCATAGAAGTACCATAGAAATCCTTTTTAAATCCCATAGGGATCTCATAGCAATTTCATAGGAGTCAATTAGACATATGATAGAAATATCATGGAAATCCCAATATAGGAATCCCACAGACATCCCATAGAAAGATCATAGAAATAACATGGAAATAGCATAGGAACCACAAAGAAATCCCATAATAATCTCATAGAATTCCTTCAGGAACCCCATAGTAATCCCATAGAAATATCAAAGAAGCATCATGGAACTCCCATAGGAATGCCATAGGAATCCAATAGGAATCCCAAAGATATACCATAGAAACATCATAGAAAATCCATAGAAATCCCATAGGAATCCAATGGAAATCCCGTAAGAATACCATAGAATTCCCATAGCATCCATTCAGAAATCCCATTAAAATATCATAGAAGCATCATGGAAGTTCCATAGGAATGCTATAGGAATCCCATAGTAACCTAATAGAAACCCCATAGAAATATCATAGAAATCCAATAGAAATTTCATGGAAATCCCACAGAAATCACAGAGAAATCCCATAGAAAAATCATAGAAATACTATAGAGGTCCCATAGAAATCTGATAGAAATCCAATAGGCACCCCTCTGAAATCCCAGAGAAGTTCCAAAGAACAACCATGGAAATCCCTTAGAAATCCCATAGTAATCCCATATAAATATCATAGACATCTAAAAGAAATATCATAGGTCATAGAAATCCCAAAGAAATCCCACAAGAATCCAATGGAAATCCCATAGGCATGCTTTTGAAACCCCATAGGAATCCCATAGACATACCATTGGCACCCCATAGAAATCCCGTAGTAATGCTATAGGCTATAGAAATATCATAGAAATACCATGGAAACCTTACGAAATCCAATAGAAATCCCATAGAAATATCATAGAACCACCACAGAATTTCCACAGAAACTTCATGAACACCCCATAGAATTCCTAAAGAAACACTCTAGAAATATCATAGAAATATTTTTTTAATTCCATAGTAATCTCATAGAAATATCATAGAATTCCAAAAGAAATATCATATTCATATATATATATACTTCCCAAAGAAATCCCATAGAAATACCACAGAAACACCATAGGAATCCAAAGGAAATCCCATAGACATCCTTTTGAAACCCAATAGGAATCCCACAGAACTACCATTGACACCCCATAGAAATCCCATAGTAGCCCCAGAGAAATATCATAGACATACTATAGGAACCCCACTGGATTTCCAATAGAAATCCCATATCATAGAACCACTATAGAAATTCCAAAGAAACCTCATGGAAACCCCACAGAATTCCCAAAGAAATACTCTAGAAATATCATAGAAGTACCATAGAAATCCTTTTTAAATCCCATAGGGATCTCATAGCAATTTCATAGGAGTCAATTAGACATATGATAGAAATATCATGGAAATCCCAATATAGGAATCCCACAGACATCCCATAGAAAGATCATAGAAATAACATGGAAATAGCATAGGAACCACAAAGAAATCCCATAATAATCTCATAGAATTCCTTCAGGAACCCCATAGTAATCCCATAGAAATATCAAAGAAGCATCATGGAACTCCCATAGGAATGCTATAGGAATCCAATAGGAATCCCAAAGATATACCATAGAAACATCATAGAAAATCCATAGAAATCCCATAGGAATCCAATGGAAATCCCGTAAGAATACCATAGAATTCCCATAGCATCCATTCAGAAATCCCATTAAAATATCATAGAAGCATCATGGAAGTTCCATAGGAATGCTATAGGAATCCCATAGTAACCTAATAGAAACCCCATAGAAATATCATAGAAATCCAATAGAAATTTCATGAAAATCCCACAGAAATCACAGAGAAATCCCATAGAAAAATCATAGAAATACTATAGAGGTCCCATAGAAATCTGATAGAAATCCAATAGGCACCCCTCTGAAATCCCAGAGAAGTTCCAAAGAACAACCATGGAAATCCCTTAGAAATCCCATAGTAATCCCATATAAATATCATAGACATCTAAAAGAAATATCATAGGTCATAGAAATCCCAAAGAAATCCCACAAGAATCCAATGGAAATCCCATAGGCATGCTTTTGAAACCCCATAGGAATCCCATAGACATACCATTGGCACCCCATAGAAATCCCGTAGTAATGCTATAGGCTATAGAAATATCATAGAAATACCATGGAAACCTTACGAAATCCAATAGAAATATCATAGAACCACCACAGAATTTCCACAGAAACTTCATGAACACCCCATAGAATTCCTAAAGAAACACTCTAGAAATATCATAGAAATATTTTTTTAATTCCATAGTAATCTCATAGAAATATCATAGAAATCCAAAAGAAATATCATATTCATATATATATATATACTTCCCAAAGAAATCCCATAGAAATACCACAGAAACACCATAGGAATCCAAAGGAAATCCCATAGACATCCTTTTGAAACCCAATAGGAATCCCACAGAACTACCATGGACACACCTTTAGAAACACCATAGAATACCACAGAAACACCATAGAAATTACATAGAATTTCCATAGAATTTTTATAATTTTTGTCAAAATCCCATAGAAACGCGATAGAAACCAAGGAGAGGATGCCAGGAGAATTGAACTAAGTAAGAGACAAAAGCTATAGCAACGGAAAGGAAAAGGAAAGGAGAGAATGATTTTGGAAAAAAACATATACTTCCAAAAAACAAGTGGACACAATAGAGGACCACCACAACAAACATATTATTTAGGATCAATATTGGTCATGAAAAAACTGGAAAAATGAAATAACAATTTCTTCAGACAACAATTGGACACAATAGAGGACCACCACAACAAACAGATTATTTAGGATCAATATTGCTCATGAAAAAGCTGAAACAATTGAAATGAAGATTCTTCAGACAACAGTTGGACACAATAGAGGACCACCACAACAAACATATTAATTATTTAGGATCAATATTGCTCATGAAAAAACTGAGAAATATTAAACAAAAAAATTGAAAAAATGAATTATAAAAAAAGAGAACAACGGAAACAATTGAAATGAATTAAACAACAAATCAAAACATAATTTAAAACAATTTAGAAACAACTGAAAAATCCACCCAAAAAAATATCCAACAATACCGACCCACCCAATCATTTTCCCTGGGTCTGAATTATTTCAGAAAAAAATCAACAATAGTGACCCACCATGACCCACCACACTAATCAGGACCCAACATTACATAATATATAATAATATATATATATATGTATATGTATATGATATGCATTCATTATATATATATATTATTGTATATATATACATACACAGTGTACATATATATATATATATATGTATACAAATATACTATATATATATACACATGTTATATAAATATATACATTATATATATATACATTATGTATATATACATTATATATACACATTATATATATATATACATTATATATATATACATTATATATACACATTATATATATACATTATATATATATATATATATATGTACATACTATATATATATATACACATTATATATTTACACATACATTGTATATACAATAAATACATACATATATAATCATATATACATACATACATAATTATGTATGTATGTATATTTATATATGCATATTCATTATAATTATGCACATACACAATACCCATATACATATATACGTGATAAAACATGTTTATATATATATACATAACACACACACATATATATATATATACATGTGTGTGTGTGCGTGTGAGTAAACGAAACAATATTGTAATATTAAGTATTAATCAGTTTTGCTTCGCCTTGGCCTTGTTGAGGGGTGTGCAAAACCTTCATTACCGATGGGGGACGACCCTATACCGATGCATGAGTTGCCTCAAAGTCTGACAACGCAGAAATCCTCACTACTGATAGGGGACGACCCTAATTTGCGCATGGCATGAAAATAAACAAGTGATTTTGTCCGCTATTCATATATGTGAATATATATATATTATATTATATTTATATTATATTAATTGCTCAATGAATAAACGTGGTTTTTGAACATATTGTAGAGGTTACACATATTTCAGTTCGATTGCAGATGATTTTGATACATGAAGTAATCATGCACGTGCAGCATGCACAGATGTTCGCAGAATGCATCACTACCCAAAACACCATGAAAAAATTGTTGTTGTTTCGTCTTTCTATGCTGTGGTTCTGTCAGCATTCAGCGTTGGCGCTGTGTCAGGCCTGCAGAAGAACAAGTCCTTGAAGTCTTTGTGCCTCGCCGCCTGCCGTCTCGGAAACCAAGGCATCGCACTGTTATGCATCCACCGTGCATCTTGGAAATTCTTGGAAGGGTTCAGGCTTCGTGACTCTTTGCACAATTATAGAATTGTTGAACATTGTTGAACGTTTACTTATTTTAACCAATTCAGACGGAAGTGTTGTTGGCACACTTCTAAGCACTGGGCCCTTGGGTGATGGGATGGCTGCGTAAGCTTTTCACATCTTGTCGCTGAAAACTGACGCCGCTCGAAGGAGTTGGACAGCTTTGCGCTGGTCCATTGGCAAACCATTTTTCGTTCCTTGGCTGTGAAAGTTCAGCTTGAAACCGGGGGAAGTTGCAAAGAGGCCACAGCGAGACACTCACAATTTCATTGACTGTCGGACCTGTCACTCCCTGAATTTGCGCCGCTGGGATAGATTGTTGTGCATTCTGCCCTAGATTCTTCGTGTCCTTCTAAAATCAATTTCATTTTGTAACTCTTCCGACGGCTTGGATGCTTCTTTTTTGAGGTAAGCATCAGAGACACACCATGTATCACCAGCTGAATCTTCGTTGCAGGCTCGAGCATGTTTCCTTCAGCTACAACCGCTTGGAGGACGAGGTTTGCAGCAGTGTGGTGAAGATGTTCTTTGGCCAAAGTTGATTCTAGGGTGGCTCGCACATGTTCACACCTTACAGCGGAGATAAGTCAGATATATAAGTGGGACATAGTGGGACCATCGCAACATATCCCGTTCCAACTTCCAGGATTTTCCAGGTGACAGTTGGTGACCAATGCCATGCCCACGGCTTGGTGATTTGTTGGCTGAGGCTTGCCACCAACACGAAGTTGAAATACTTGGAGCTGAATGGCAACAGCCTGGGTGTGGCAGCCGCTGAGGAGCTGGTGAAGGGTTTGCAAAGCAACAAGACCCTCGAGAAGTTCCTTGATGGCCATGATTGAACCTTTATATGCCTTGATGTTGGAACGATATGAGTCATACATACATCGTTATACTGTAAATACTGTATGAGTTGACAATATTTCACAGCCATTCATTCTCCAGCTCAAGGTTCCTTAGATCTTAGATTGATCGAGATTGTAGAGACTTTAATCCTGCAATGTGGAGCACTGGGATCATGCGGGACAATATGTTTGGGTCGGAAGTTCCCAACCCAGCTGCTATATACAAAGGTAGCAGTCTGAGGTTCTGTTGAAGTGTTGAAGAATGTCATTTGCTGGAAAGTTGTTTTCCTTTCCAGGCCTGTAGAATTGATGACTGAAAATCAATTCTGCATCCTGCATGATTTTGCAATCAGAGTGCAGTACACGATCTGGCTATATCTTTTGAATTTCAACAGTCCCACAATCCATGCAACACAGTTTTCTACAATGCACAAGAGAGGTTGTTCCCAACAAATTCTCACCATATCGGAATGATACTCCATTTTCTATTGCCATAGTATCCATAGCCGGCTTGGCCTAGCATGGCATCACCGTTTGCGTTTGCCTAAAGCGGGTATCAATCCGTGGCTTGAGGCTGGGCTTGGCACAGAACTCCATCATGCAAAAGGGTGCTACTGCTTTGAGCATCCTGTCTCTAAATTCAGCAGAATTCAGCAGTGTTGTTTGTTGTTCTTGTTCTTGTTGGTTGTTTTTTGTTTGCTTGTTTTTGTTTTGTTGTTTGTTGTTTGTTGTTCCGTTGTTTTGTTTGTTTGTTTGGTTGGTTGGTTGGTTGCTTGGTTGGTTGCTTGGTTTGTTGTTTTTTGTTTGCATGTTTTTGTTTTGTTGTTTGTTGTTTGTTGTTCCGTTGTTTTGTTGTTTTGTTGTTTTGTTTGGTTGGTTGGTTGGTTGCTTGCTTGCTTGCTTGCTTGCTTGCTTTGTTGTTGTTGTTGTTGTTGTTGTTGTTGTTTCTCCATTCATGTCATTCACGTCCCACCTTCATCCATGTTCCATCATTTTCATTCATTTTCTGGAGGTTGACCCAACAACTTATTGGAAGAAATATTGGAAGAGCTGCTCCAGCACAAGCTACTAACATGAGATGAACGGTTTGTGACACTCTGTTCTTGGTTCTGCCAGGCAAGCATTTCGTGTCTGACAAGGGGCAGAATTTGATCTACCTGGATCTTCGCTACAACAAAGTTGGTATCTCGCCTTGGTTGGACAGTGGGCTGCACAGGGAACAGAGGGAACGGGCATCTTGTGGCAGTCACGGCAGCTTGCACCAGGATTATCAATGATGGTGCTTGGATAGTGTGGTAATCACTTTACATATTTTAAATATCTTTACGTCGTTTTTGGTGAGTCCAGCCGAACAGGGCCTGTGGGCCCTGGGGCCCACAAGGGCCCCTGCCGGCGGTCCAGGCTACTACGGCTGCGTGGACATCCGCAAGATGATCAACAAGCCAATGGAGGATGACGAGGCGAACAAGGGCTGGATGACTCTCGGAATGGACATGTGAAGACAGATGTGTAAATTGAAATTGAATATCTTGAGATGTAGAATGCGCACACATACACACACACACACACCGTGCATACTTACTGATCTTCGCTTACAAGAAAAACTTCACAACCGAAAACAACCGGCTTGTTGAAAGTGGTTTGCAGATTCGCATTTCTCGCCAAAAGTTTCATCTCCGGGAGTTCCTTGTAGTCTTTCACCAAAAGGATGGGGAAACTATGGGAAACTCATACCATACGCTATGATATACATACATATATGTACGTGCGCGCGTGTGTGTGTGATTCAGAAACTGATAGAAACTGGAAAATACAAGATTAAAACAAGGCAAAACTAAACGACCTGAGAAAAAGATAGAAAAAACATGAAATCCCGTTGAATTCCTGAACTGCCAAGGATCAATTTTGGAGAGAGGCAGCTCATGCTCAATGCACACTGAGCGCACTGAGATACTGGCCGCCGGAAACGCTGCGGTTTTTCTTGCATCGCAGTGCGTGGCCAGTGAGGCAGCTGTAGCAATTCTTTTCCAAGGTTGCCAAGCGCGATGTGGTAGAGTTTTGTGGCCCGTCACGGCCATTTGGAACCAACGTGCTAGACCGGCGGTGATTGAAAGATAGGTTGACTTGAACAAACTGCAGTTTCACACAACTGAGTTGTTTGCATATTGTTTTAAATGATTACTTTCGCCATCTTTCGCCATGCGTTTCTTTGCTCTTAGTATCTCTTGGTTCACCTACTTTAATCGACCCAAGTCGCAGCTTTGGCGTCTCACCATGGCGATCTCAAGCTCGGAGCGCAGCAGGTTGAACCTTGGCACATTTCAGCGCAGTTTTGCTGCCCGGTTTGCTGAGTTTGCTGCAACACTTGCTGTTTATCTTGCAATTCTGACAGCAATGAGAATAATCCTGCAGGCTTCTGCATCTTTTTTTTTTGTCCATCATTTTGTCAGATGTTGATCACTGTTGATCAATTTTGTATCGTGTCACGTCCATTTCTTTTAGATTGACGATCCAGGCCGCGTCCCACACATCCAAGGAGAAGACCCCCAGCCACCATGCCGATTCAATGGCAATTCTTCAGGCGTGAATGGACCCCATCTTCGCGCTGCAACCAGTGCACGTCAGAATCGGAATTGATCACAAGATTCAAGAATCTTACAAGAAGCTTGCAAAAGATCTGATCTTCCAACATCTTCCAACCAATCTGCAGACAAGTACATCAGTATGATGATTTGGATGCAGTTTTGCCTTATTTGCCTGAAGCAACAGAAAGAGCATAGAGCTATGTCTATGCAACGAAAACTATGATTTTATGTTTATTTGACTTTTGTGTATCTTGGTGTTTGAGTAAGACATGCACAGCTCCCAGCTACCACAGATGGAAATTGTCCTAGTGACCCTAGTGCTGTGAATCTGACGTGCGGAGAGTTGCCTAATCCCACAGAGATCAGCAAAAGGTGCTGAAAAAAGGCGTGCCATCGCTGAGCATTGCTTACGTACAGTATGTACTGTGCAACTTGATCATATTTACCTGTCACGATTATGTCATGTTTGGTTTCAAGGCGGGAACCTGCCTTATGGCTAGACAACCTGTAGTGACTTAATGGACTACCGCTCTTCGTTGCGGTGACATTTGGTTCCCACCAGTGGGGCACCAATGCCTTGGCAGGATCGATGACCTGGAGGCGAGACTTCGCCACAAACTACTTGCATTGGTACCATGTATAGCCGGATGTTGGCACCCATGGATTATCATGGATTATCATGGATTATATCCCTGCCAAATCAGACAATGATTCAAAATGATTCAAAATTCAAAAAGCATCGCTGCACGCGTCTGCACGCAGGTTCTTTTAACCGCGGCCTGACAGATGTCCTGATGCTTACAGATGTCCTGAGCACTAATTAGGCAGTGTAAATAAAAGAATCACATGGAGTAAACTGAGTAAACCATGCGTCAAGGGAATCAATCCCTGTCTACCTCAGCCAGGCCACCTCAAAGAATTTGGCCTCCCAATTGGAAAGTGCCTTTCAACAGTCCGGTTTGCCAGAAGTTTCCCGATGCTATTGCCTGTCAAAAAAGGTGCCCAAGTTCTCACCGGGTTGTGCTACAAGATCCGCAAGGTTAGCACATGTTAGCACTTGCACACGACATATGCTTTCTTGGTAGTATCAAAGGAGGTAAGCGGACGGCAAGCAACATAAGTATACACAAATAATATTACATAATCATAAATATAAGTAACTAAGTTGCCTGAGACACCACTTTTTCCAAACTATAGTAGCTTTCTCTGTCACTGAAGGCAGCTGGCAGCAGACCAAGAGCATGAGAAACTGAAATCTGCCCGAGCTCCTGGAAGGGCCTCCGATTGGTGCTGTCCTTGTGGTTGACCAGGTGTTTCTGTGTGCTGCATCATCATGATTGCCGTCATCGCACACATGAAGAAACATCGTAAATTGATCATGTGCTTTCAAAGTACTGTAGCCATGCAACTTCTTTTTTTTGTAACGCCATGTTTGCAGTACTCGTAGGAGTTGAAGAGTGGGCTTTGTTTGAATCGGAGCCACAAGCTGGTTGTGCTGTTGTTTTGCAATATCTGAAAGTCTTGTCCGAGGATTGGAAGAAAATCAGCAGATGCTGCGACATGCGCAGGATGGGTTGCGGGAGACAGGGCGTAGAATTCCAAGTAATGCACATTAGAGTAGCTACAGTAGGACATTCTCCAGATTTCTCCAGGATTTCCGGATGACATCGGATGACAAACCTAAAAGATCCTAGGGATGACAGACCAACCTGGGATCATGCCAGATTGCCAGCAGGGAAATTTGAGGTTCGAATTTTGAAACCCAGCAGTGAACATATGTGAACATGCCACAATGTGCCACAATGTGCCACAATGTGCCACAATGTGCCACAATGTGCCACAATGTCCCACAATGTGCCACACAGACCAAGGAGGAAATGGAGAAGTTGGTCAAAGAACAGGAGGATGCTCAGAAGGAGGCGGCCTGTCTCCTGGATATTCATGGATGCAGCGTTCTTAATATGCCCTAACGATGTTTGCCCGGCTTTGAGGGCTGGCATTTTCTGCTGCCCCGCATTTTACATGGTTGACGGATGTTGACGGTTTGCTTTAGATGGCAGTAAGAAAAAGCTCTTGAGGTTTTTGAATGTTTTTGAGGCATATTCCGTGCAGTCTTGTACCTGGCCACAGACAGTAGTACTGCGTGGTTTCTAGGGCATTTCACGAACAGTTACGGCCCAAGAACAACGATACCGCTGTCCAACTTCCAGAATTCTTACCGTTTGTGCATTTGTGCCATGGTAAATCAATGTATGATATTGATTGATATTGTATGATCATGGGTCATATGAATCATGGCAATCATGGCAATCATGGCAATCATGGCAACATCTTGATGTAATTTGATGTATCTTGTGGAGGTTGATGTGCTGACTGACGAGATCAAAATCCTCAAGACCAGAGACCAGGCTCCAAGGCTCCAGATATCTCCCCAGGAAGTCACAGGGCATTGTCCGACGCATTGACTATTGGATGATATTGGATGACAGGTAGCCGTTGGACCTGTGGACAGAGTATTGGCGTGGATCATGACATCTTATATATGATATTTTATGACTATGATTTGTTGTGTGTGAACTTGTAGCCTGCTGTGCCACTTGATGCCAGGCTACAGATCTTGCAGAAGAATGTGGAGGTAGCAACAATGCATGTTTCTAGGATCTAGGGGCATTCAGGATGCACCATAACATGATAAGATTGCCATTTGTGCTACACCGAGTATGCTTCCTAGCACTCCTCCATGCTTCAAATGCGTCAGGTGATTTCGGGAATTTCTCAAAATGAGAGAGGCTAAGAGAGAGAAGGAGACCGACCCTGTTCCATTAAGCCACTTCTCCTGGCTGCTGCCATCTCTACTGCTCCCTTGGTTTTTCATGGTTTTTCCCATCAGAGCCTATAGGGATGCCATTTTGCTAACATCACTCACTAGGAATTCAACGCCAGCGGGTAGTCTCGGATTGGCGTGCGCCAGGGCACTCTTGCATATACTTGCCTTGTCGCAACGCGAGGCTCAACATAGCTCAACCTTGACAACTTCCACTGAAGTGAAGAGTGTCATAGAGTGTAGTTAGTGCTTATTCATCTCACCGATTTGAATTTTTTGGACAGTCAGGGGCTAAATGATTGCTATTGGAGAGTGGGCGAACACATTGCAACCATAGATAGCATTGATACCATGCATCCTCCATCAACTTTGGGGCAATCATGGATGGGCCAGCATCGCCAGCGACCGGCTGCGAGATGTGCGACAGAGCTTGCGTGAAGCAAAGAGCCTGGAAGCTGTTTTCCAACGGTCTGGGATCAGACATGATCACATTTGGCCACGGAAGACGCTTGTGCTAAGATCATTATGACCCCTTACTGATTTTACATCAAGTTGTCATCCCTTTGGTGGTCCTGGTTGTTTGTGTCATGATGTTGCAAGTATGTTCAAAGTTGATTTGCGTCGGAATCTTCGGAAGAAAGAAACACGTTTCCCCAACAACCAGCTTTCCGCCTTGACAGGCCCTGATGTTCCGGGCCCACACAGCCATCAGCACCAGTGGGAGCGTCAAGTTGATGGTCCGACCGCATGCGTTGCTTACCTTTTAGGAAGTCAACAACCGCTGATGATGCCATTCAGTTGCCATCCAGTCTGATGAGGTGTGAGTACACTGCATTTGTTTGGTAGAATGCATCAATTGCTCAGCAACTTGAAGACATGCTGAACAACAGCTCGCATGATACGATATGATCGATATGAGTCCTGAGTGCGCGATGAACATCAATTGGCACATTGGGATTTGCACCAAGGATCTACACAAAGTACGGAATTTAGAAATCGACTCCGTGTATCCTTCGTAATTATATATACTGTATATATATATATCCATAGTATCGGTTTTGTCAGTCCCTGGGATATTTCGCATTATTTCGCTATGGCTCTTCTCCGCTCAGGTTTTCCACCTTGCTTGAGGGCCAGTTGATTCACAGCAAAGTCTTCCATGGCTTCCATGGCCATCATCACAGGCAGCTGGAGCTCCATGCAACAAACGATGTGGATCCTGCGATATCAGGACTGCGCAGCAAGATGTGGTGCTCCAGCGGTAAGTGAAGTTAACTGAGTCCTGCGCATGTACAAAAACATTACGAAATCAAGTAATTAAGTGATGAAAATTGAAAAGTGGCTGCCAACCTTACCTGCACAATCGCATGTTTGGATTTTACACACTTATTAAGTACTTTTTTAATATTTACATGACTATACATGACTCGCATTTACTTAGTTCATTGTAATATGTGGCTATATTTATACATTTGGGTACATGTAGCACAGATCATCGCATACAGATATATCATAGATATAGGTGACATGTGCACATAATGCATCATTGGATCAATATTTTTGTGTCCTACACAGTATATGTTATCGAAGGTAGAGAGCAGCAGTTCCAAGGTACGAGTTCGCACGGAAGAAGAGTTGGAGCAAAGCAATAAGGATCCTGAGCGCCTTGAGTGAAGCCCCATTGGATGCAAATGGCCACTTCAAAGATTATGACTTTGTTTCTGGATTGGTGCGTTTCCTTCCAATTCTGGTGGGAACCTGTGCCCAGGCGGTGATGAAACATGATGAAACCTTCACATTCATGTCAGACACTCTGTGATTGATTAAGGCTTGAGTCATGACAGGCTATGACAGGCCTATTTTCGTTTCCAGGTGAGCCAATGGCTACCAGCTCTAGCCATGACAAAGGGCTTCTTGTCGAAGGCGTCCAGAGAATCCCTTGATCTTCTGCCATCCATCCAGGGCATCGTAAAGGCTTTGGCCGCAGAGAACTTGGCGCGACCAGCGCTGTCTCTCAGCGTTTGTTTCCAAAAGGTGGAATGTCAATTGGTGTACATGGTGGTTTCTTGAATAGTAAGGGGATCCTCTGAACATGGTATGTTAATGTATTTTAGTGTGTTTTCATGTCAATTCATTGTGATTCTCTGGTGCAACCAAGCTGCAGAGCACAGCCGGCACAGCTAAAGGTCCCTGCTTCCAGAAGTCCTAGCAGATCCGCAAGATCCAACAGAATCGGCGAATGCTCCCAGGACCTTGGCAATGCTAATGGAGGCCTCATTTCAATGCAATGATTGGATGGTTGCCGTGTGCACCCTGGAATTGTTGCATGTGTATCTCGTCTAAGTTGGAATGGGATGACTGGCTGGCTTCGGCCGTAACAGAGGAAAGCTTGATACGTTGATCAAGGATGATAAGGATGGTGTGTACACTGGCTCTTGTTTTGTTTCTTTCCATTATTCCAACAATATCATAACAATATCAGCATCATATACTATCATATATACTATTATAATTTTGTTTTAATGTGTTTCCCCATTGATGACTGGGTCACCTGAGGTGGCGATTGGGAGAGATATCGGTGGGAGAACTTACAGACGCATCACTTGTTCTCTAAACACGAGAGCAAGCCCGACGAATCCTTTTTTCGAACCTTCAATCCCAAAAGCAAAAAAAGTTCCTAATTTTTCTCTAGTCTCTTCTCCGCTTGCTTTCTTCTTCACCATCATCATCATCATCATCATCATCCCCCGTATCCATGCATATCCCATCCATATCCCATGACCAGCTGCAGGTCTCGCTGTGGACCCCATGACTTGGACCGGGCCACGGCCAAGTGCGTGGCATCCTGTCCTGCCTGGCCGCTGGCCCTGACGCTGCGACGCTCCATGGGCGTCCGGAGTGCCCTGGTCACCTGGGGCCCCAGGCAGTTGGAAACTGAGCCAATTCTCAATCGATATACGTGGTACATCATGGTTTTTAATTGTATAATAGATAGAACAGTGATTAACAATGCATCTATCTATCTAATCTAATCTAATCTAATATTTTATCTTATTATCTTATCTTATCTTGCCATCCATCTTATCTGATCTTGTCTAAAGCGGGAGATGTGCAACAGATGCACACCTTCATTGCCATTCCATTCCCTTTGGTCATTTGAAGGCCCAAATGCATAAAATTTCATCGAATTCACTTGGATTCTCGTTGAATTTCATATTCCTCTTGGACATGTTTGTCAGTAAGGCTACTCCAGCTTTGCCAAGCTTTGTGGCTCTGGAGCTTGGCCCATTGCCTTACAGTTAGCCCAAGACGGTGCCCGAGGGCAGCGCCTGTCTCAATCTTCGATCCTGCTGGATAGTCTTCTGACAGCTCAGGTGAAGGACTGAACGTTATTGGGCTGGACGAAGTTGGTCCTCATGGTGTTGGATCTCGAGTTCTCGAATGATAGTGGTCAATTTATTGTCAATTTATGTTTTTCTAATTTCCAATGTTTGCAGATTCAGGTGCCATCTAAACTAATTAGTGCGTTTCAACGCTCAAATCATGGCATTTCCCCGATGATGACTTGGTCAGGAGCAGCGGTGGCAGGACTCTTTCGATTTCTTCAAAGGGCTTGGAAGTCAGAAGGGGCAGGGGCAACAAGATGGAACCAGTCAGATCCAACAGGGGTCCAGCTCAACGTTGACTACAGAACTACCTGTTGATGAAGTGAGGGATGGTTGGGAAGTCATGAAAGAGGACCCAAGAGATTCTTGACCAGAGAGGGCTCAGAGAAGGATTTTTTTCTGTTCTTTCGGTGTTCTATTTTCGGTGTTCTTTTGGTTCTTGTGCAATCCGATGTCAACTACCTCGATGCAAAGGCAGGTACCTCTAGGTTGCCTTATTGCGCAGGCATCACAGAAGCGCTTCGGGATTCAATTTGCATTAATTTCTTCAGTCTGTAAGATTCTGTAAGTCTCCTGTGGTTCTAGTGTTCCATCCTGGTTGAATTCGTCAAGGTCGAAGTAAAAAGCCACTGGATTCGAAGGCCAACTCGACCGTCCTTTGACGCTTTGATTCGGAGCTGCTGCGATGGTTTTCGCGATGACGTTGGTTGGCTTGAATCCTTTCGACTGCTACTCAGATCATCTTGGATCTCGGATCATCTTGGATCATTCCTTCTTCGCTTTAGATTCTGATCATTTTAGATCTTTGAAATTCTTTGAATACCAGTTCGCTTTACATCTTAGAAGATTGAACATTCTGACCAATCTTGAAGAAGATGTAGGATTCACCTCGTGAGAGCCTAGGCTCGAAACTCTCAAAGCAAACTTCGGGAGCTTCCAGCTCTACGATTCTTGGGCATCTCTTAGAGTTTTCTCTTAGAGTTTCACCTTTGGTATGCCATAGAATTCAGGACCAATGTTTCCCCCAAGATATTCTCCTGGGACCTTCCCACCATTGTGTATGATTACACCTAAATAAAGCGCATACATGGATGGTATTGGATGGTCATGTAAATTGCGGAGGTTGCTTTCACAAGTCCGTGACAACACGTTCATGAGAAAGGATATCCTTGGATTGACAGGACGCCTACACTCTCTGTGAAGTTCTGCGGGCTTGCGTATCTGGCGCCCAATGGCAACGATCACTGAAATTCCTGGATCTCTTGGGACCTGAGAGGCATCCAGATACTCGCTGCTTTGATGCAGACTGAATTCGATGTTTATGTATGTTTATGTATGCTTATGTTGATTTTCTCTGATCGCGTTCGCACCAGGTCAGCTTTCAATGGAATAATATATGATACATATATTGATACATTGTCAAGATTAGGAATGCTAGTGACTGCTAGTGACTGCTGGTGATTGCTACTTGTAGTGATTTGTACTGCTGAGGATCCCTCAGCTACATCCTGGCCATCCGAGCTTGTTCTATGCCTCGGCACTGGCTCGCAGTTCTGTCCCTCTTGGCGTGCTGCAGAAATCAACGGGTGAGGCCACACATCGGGATGCAGCCAGGCCACACTTTTTTTTTTAAAGGGAGGAACATTATGATCATCATGACGTATTCATGACTTTTTCGGACTGATTTGTGGCACAAATCCCACCTGGCACTGGAAATGTGTGAATCTTTGTGCTATCCTCAGCTAACAGATGCTGAAAGAGCCCACGCTAAGCCGCTAGGTGACCAATGGTGACCTTATGATACCTATTGATACCTTATGTGACCTTAAAATACCTTAAACATCCTTAAACATCAGAGAAATTCACAGAACATGCCTGGCTCACCAGATCCAAAGACCCATCAGGATCCCAAGCCCAGGTATGATGCCGCCATCTTCAGCTGCAAAGGTACTTGGGAACATCCGTGGAGCCAATGGAGGACAGCTTTACGCAACTTGGCTGACGAAAGCTGATGAAGTTGGAACCTGCAAGAATTGATCCTGAACATGTTGTCCTTCTATGTCCTCAAGTTCTGACATGTTATGACATGTTATGCCTTTCCAGATGTGGCACAACTAATTGACGATTATTGACGTCAACAGAGTCTAAACACCGGGGCGAGGCGGGCCATTGCCAATCTCGCTACTAGACAACATAGTGTGGGAAGGAGAGGTGCCTTATGATTTTTGATTCCAGAGCAAGATGTTTCCCCGTTATATTTCCTCATGACCATCATCATTCATGTATATTCATGTCATTTCATGTCCGGAGCAGCTACCTGAGGCATTTTGGAAGAAGCGCACATGAAGCATCTCCGCTGTAATCCATTTATGTTGCAAGGAACGTTGCGGGCCTGTCAATCGAACCACGAATGGCGCCCCTCTATGGCCCTGCTGCGGGCATGCCTCGGCAATTCGATCGAAGCACATGAGAATCAGTATGCAGCAGCTCTAGGTGCGGGGCTGAGAAGCTCACTATACAACTAATTATACAATATATTATAATTATAATATACTATAATTACGACTAATTACTGCCAATGATATGCCAGTGATGTGTCAATGGATACATCAACGTAGACAGACAATTCCAAATTTCACTAAAGGCATGGGTGTTCCTTGACATTTTGTAGTGCTTCACAATCTCTTTGATTGTGCTCAAAGGCTCACACTTCTCATGGGATTGCCCACGTCTACATAACTCACAATCACGATCGCCCTGGAGGTGTTTGCGCCAAAGCCATTCAGTGGAGCTGGGGGCTGCAGCTGGCACATTGGCTGGTCGAGTCTTTTAATATCTTTTAATGATAGGTCCTGCAGCTATCTCATGACTAGCAGCGAAGGAGCTCCATATGTCATATTTATTCCCTTGCAAATGGGGAATCCTGGAACCAATGAGCTACTATGAGCTAAAACGAGTTTCCCAACCACATGATAATGATACATATACAAGAGATTACAACAACCTCTTATGTTGCATTGAAATCTTGCCTTGAGATTGGAGGTGGGAGCCCGCTGCTGCACACTACATTGCACTACCATCATCTACCATCTACTAACTTCCCCAGAGTCCAGCAAAATATCCCATGTACCATCGATTTTCATGTGCACAAGGTACGAGATGACATGCAGAGACTTTATCTGAAGATTAGCAACACAGCCTTGAAGCCTTGCATTGAGACTTGGCACGTAGTGAGCCCAGTTTGGCGTGATTATATATGTTCTTGTTCTTGTTGTTTGTGTTGTTGGTGGTGCTATAGGACCTAGTCCTGGTGGTGGTTGTGGAAGATGTGGCGAGGTGGTGTTTTTGCCTTTGGGTTTTTTGATTCGTTTCTGACTCTGTGAGTTTTTCCAATCCAGCACAACTTGTTTCGGGAATCAGTCTGAGGACATCTTTCAGGAATCTGGTTCGTGGCAGGAAGCAACAACTTTGCTGCGCAGAGTGCAGGAATGTTCCTTGGAAACAGCTGTGCGTCCACCACGCCAAATTGGCCAAAAGTTAGTAGCAGCTAGAGGAGAAAGCGTGGGGTGGGCAATGGAAAGAGAACCAATGGGAACCATGAAGAAAAAACACAAAGAAAGAAGCCAAATGCGATTACAGCCAGAATCATTTTGTTGATCAGACTGCCCCAGATCATACTGGATAACAAAGTTGTGGACCTACTGGTAAAAATGAAACCAACAGGGAACCTTCAAGCAAATGTTCCCTTTGGAAGCTTGGCCTTGTTGCATGTTTAGGTTATTTCAATGGTTTTTCTTCAGTCAGTTCAAACCCTTTTTTGATTTTGCTTCAAGTGTGCGTGGTAGCTGCCTGCAACCCTGAGAGCATGGCGACGTTGGCTTATGTTGGCTTATGTTTGGCTCAAGCCAACAGTAACCCTTCTTCTGGTCACAGTGCAGTGCGAAAAGGTTGCTTGAACCTTTTCAATCCTTTCCAGCCATGGCTCAGATGTCTCAGGGATATCGGGAACCATCAACCTCAGGCGCAGTCGCAGCGACTGTCGGATGCCTCCCGTCCGCACCAAATGGTGGATCCTAGGCCGAAAACCATCGAAAACCATCGATCAACAGTGTTGAACAGGTGTTGAACAGGTGATGAACAGGTGATGAAAGGATGGCGTGGATGGATTGGATGGATGGATTGGGGTGCAAGGTGCGAGGTGACCTTCGCCCAGCTGCAAGGATTACAAGGTTGATTCTAGTCCCTCTTGCAGTGACCAAAGCAACAAGGTCCCAAGAGTGATCCAAAAGGCACGAAGCAAAAGGCCCGGGATAGTACTGGCTCCTTCAACACCACTCACTTTAGAAAGCAGTGGTTGCGTCCACACATCCTGCATTGCAGCCTGAACCCTTAAGCACTTGACCTGGCCAGTACAACCCTGTCGACCGAGGTTCTGTGCTGGGCATGGTAGTGACAGGCCCGTTGGGTGCCATGGTAGGGGCTGGTTTGGCAGTTGCAGCCACTCAGCCGAACGCAACCATGTTCCCACTTCTACAGCGTGGGCGCCACACCATAGCGAACGTCAGCTTGCCACGCGATGGAATCTCAGCTGAGCATCAGGAAGATGATGGTGATGGTGCCATACTGTATGTTGCCAGCCAAGTGGCATATCAGTGTCGACATTCAGATAGCTAGAAGTGAAGTTAATATCCTGGCATATCTTGATATCGCAGACGAAAGTCACTGGACCTTAGCTTCAACTCCAAAGACTTATGGATTTTAACTCCCATATGGATATTCAATGATATTCAACTCCAAAGAATGCATCACATTTTAATGGATTTTAATGGTACTTATGGGATATTGCGGGATCATGTTGGAAGATCCAATCAGTACCTCTTCCAGAGTGCCACCTTCACTCTCAAACTCTACACCGAAGGTAAAATGTAGACAGGCAATAAGGGCAATAAGAAACGAAAAACACATCGAATCTGAGAAGCACATCTCCTTGTCGCTTTTGAGGAATGACTAAGCAGCAGGGAGTCACCTACTTTGCTGTCGATGTGGTGGATACCAATGGCTTTACTTGGAGGCTATTGCGAAGATACAGCCACTTCAGCCGTTTCCAAGCCTTGATGAATAATTATGAGACTCACTTGCAAATTGGTGGGCGCCCCTTTCACACCTGCCTCTTTTCGAAAAGTTATACTCTGATATACTTTTACCTGACTTTTCAGATGACAAGACCGAAGTGGTACACGATATGAACAAGATTTGCATAAAAGGTCCTTGTCGAAATTCATTAAGGTCCACAATGGTCTATACTACTATGCAGTGAAAATGTACGCAACAGTCACTTTTTGCCTCCGTCTTTCCAGGAAATTCGCTGCGTGTTTCCTGGGAAGACATTCTTCAGCTGTAGCGGAAATGAACTTGAGCAGCGACGTTTGGGGCTGGAGGCATGGACAAGGGACATGCTTCCTGGTCGCACTTTCTTCGAAACATTCGTCAAGGAATGTCGAGGCTACGAGCGCTAGGAGGGTTGACATGGTCGACCAATGTCGACCATTGGATGGCATGTCCATCAGTTTTAGCAGATGTCCAGTGCCTCAATACATCTCAACACCTTCAGTGATTCCCAATGCGAGCTTGCAAGCGCTTTGGAAAAACTATCCCCGGCCGGTGATAGCCTATAGAATGGGGATCTTTTACAATTATGAAATGGTTTTCTGGACAGCCATTATATAGGAAGGATGGTTGGGGTGCACTGTGGCCTCCTTTTGCAAGAGTTGGGTTCATCATTTTATAAGGCCCGCACTGCCTACTTGCAAACTCTTCCTTTTTCAAGCATAAACTTTTGCAAAGAAAATCCCTTCACTTTATAGGTGCCAAACGGTTTGGTGAATCAAATTTTATTTTAGACACCCCGCTGACCTTTGCAAAGAAATTGTCCTCATTTTATAGGTATATGGTTGTGCTAAGTAGAGCATGGTGCACCATTTTTTGTGATACTAAATTCTATTGATATATATATATATGTGTGTATTTATATTTATATTTATGTTGAACATTTGTTGGTTTTGATGTTTTCAAAGAATGTTTGATTTATTTTGAGACGTCATAGATTGACAAGAATGGGGGGGCAGGGGGATCACCAAAAAAAACATTAAAACAAATTCAAAACATTTTGAAACCCACACTGGCACCTATAAAATGCCTTGCAAAGCTTGTACAGACCGCATTTAGTGTTCAACCAATTTTCCTTTCTTTACCTTTGTCCCAAGACTTTGGAAAAATTACATTATTAGAGTATATTAGAATCAATATTCTGACATGTTATCTGACATTTTCTCTGAGACATATTTTGACATTCTATCTGGCATCTTCTGTAGCATAAAAAATGCATATAAAATAAGCATATTGCAGCACATATTCAAATTCACGAAAAAATGAAGTTTTTTTCATTTAATGGTATTGCTAATGGTATATGATCTATAATATTTGAAATATTTATAATATATATTTCTTCACTTTGATTATATTCAACATTGATAATATATATGTTCTACAATATTAATTCTTCAGGTACAACATTTGTCTTAATTTGTTGTATAGATATTTTTAACTCACAATTAAACATATTATAAGAATACACATATCAAAAAGTAAAGAGCCCATAAAATATCATTTTTAATTTTCAAACGTTACAAAAGTACCTTTTCCTGTTTACGCATTTAAATATGACATGTTTCACTTTCTTGTTGCGGCTTTTCCGCTGTGTCTCTCCCCTATAGCCTTCCCCCTTGGGGCCTTTCCGGGTCGAAGTCCTCGAGCCGCTGGGGCTTCCCCCTTCTTGTGTTACCCGACAGAAAAGAGGCAATGACAGGGTTTTGGTAGCCTGCTTTTTTTAAGTATTTCTTATTAAGCTGCAAAGGCGAGACCTTTTCGATGCCATGAAAGTAAGAAAGCAAAAATTGCCGCAAAACTTGTACAGTGTGTTACAGACCGCAGAGTGAATGCTGCACACCCAAGCTACCACCTATAAAATGCCATGCAAAGCTTGTACAGACCGCAGAGTGAATGCTGCACACCCAAGCTACCACCTATAAAATGCCATGCAAAGCTTGTACAGACCGCAGAGTGAATGCTGCACACCCAAGCTACCACCTATAAAATGCCATGCAAAGCTTGTACAGACCGCAGAGTGAATGCTGCACACCCAAGCTACCACCTATAAAATGCCATGCAAAGCTTGTACAGACCGCATTTAGTGTTCAACCAATTTTCCTTTCTTTACCTTTGTCCCAAGACTTTGGAAAAATTACATTATTAGAGTATATTAGAATCAATATTCTGACATGTTATCTGACATTTTCTCTGAGACATATTTTGACATTCTATCTGGCATCTTCTGTAGCATAAAAAATGCATATAAAATAAGCATATTGCAGCACATATTCAAATTCACGAAAAAATGAAGTTTTTTTCATTTAATGGTATTGCTAATGGTATATGATCTATAATATTTGAAATATTTATAATATATATTTCTTCACTTTGATTATATTCAACATTGATAATATATATGTTCTACAATATTAATTCTTCAGGTACAACATTTGTCTTAATTTGTTGTATAGATATTTTTAACTCACAATTAAACATATTATAAGAATACACATATCAAAAAGTAAAGAGCCCATAAAATATCATTTTTAATTTTCAAACGTTACAAAAGTACCTTTTCCTGTTTACGCATTTAAATATGACATGTTTCACTTTCTTGTTGCGGCTTTTCCGCTGTGTCTCTCCCCTATAGCCTTCCCCCTTGGGGCCTTTCCGGGTCGAAGTCCTCGAGCCGCTGGGGCTTCCCCCTTCTTGTGTTACCCGACAGAAAAGAGGCAATGACAGGGTTTTGGTAGCCTGCTTTTTTTTAAGTATTTCTTATTAAGCTGCAAAGGCGAGACCTTTTCGATGCCATGAAAGTAAGAAAGCAAAAATTGCCGCAAAACTTGTACAGTGTGTTACAGACCGCAGAGTGAATGCTGCACACCCAAGCTACCACCTATAAAATGCCATGCAAAGCTTGTACAGACCGCAGAGTGAATGCTGCACACCCAAGCTACCACCTATAAAATGCCATGCAAAGCTTGTACAGACCGCAGAGTGAATGCTGCACACCCAAGCTACCACCTATAAAATGCCATGCAAAGCTTGTACAGACCGCAGAGTGAATGCTGCACACCCAAGCTACCACCTATAAAATGCCATGCAAAGCTTGTACAGACCTCAGAGTGAATGCTGCACACCCAAGCTACCACCTATAAAATGCCATGCAAAGCTTGTACAGACCGCAGAGTGAATGCTGCACACCCAAGCTACCACCTATAAAATGCCATGCAAAAGCTTGTACAGACCGCAGAGTGAATGCTGCAGACCCAAGCTACCACCTATAAAATGCCATGCAAAGCTTGTACAGACCGCAGAGTGAATGCTGCACACCCAAGCTACCACCTATAAAATGCCATGCAAAGCTTGTACAGACCGCAGAGTGAATGCTGCACACCAAGCTACCACCTATAAAATGCCATGCAAAGCTTGTACAGACCGCAGAGAATGAATGCTGCACACCCAAGCTACCACCTATAAAATGCCATGCAAAGCTTGTACAGACGCAGAGTGAATGCTGCACACCCAAGCTACCACCTATAAAATGCCATGCAAAGCTTGTACAGACCGCAGAGTGAATGCTGCACACACAAGCTACCACCTATAAAATGCCATGCAAAGCTTGCACAGACCGCAGAGTGAATGCTGCACACCCAAGCTACCACCTATAAAATGCCATGCAAAAGCTTGTACAGACCGCAGAGTGAATGCTGCACACCCAAACTGCCACCTATAAAATGCCATGCAAAGCTTGTACAGACCGCAGAGTGAATGCTGCACACCCAAGCTACCACCTATAAAATGCCATGCAAAGCTTGTACAGACCGCAGAGTGAATGCTGCACACCCAAGCTACCACCTATAAAATGCCATGCAAAGCTTGTACAGACCGCAGAGTATTACAGGAGCTATTTCATAATGTTCCTAATTCCATTTTATAGCTGACTTGTTGGGCGTTTGTCTTACATCCCAACTACCCCCTCCAACTTGAGCAGTAACATTTTATAGACTATATTTTTGCTGTGGTCAATATCACTGTTAACCTTTGCAAAAGAAGTTGGGTCATAATATAGGAAGGTATGTTTTCATGATGGTTTTGCTTTGCACCTCATTTCATAGAGAGAATGTATGGGTCTACACCTTAGCTTTTCATTTTATAGAGCTAATTTTCCTATAGAATGAGGGGGGCAAAGGTCCCTAGGCAACACTAAGGGAGGATGAAAAACTTAAAAAATCCGAAAAAGTGGGAAGCACAGACTTGGTACATTGGTGCAATCAACAAGAAGGACAGTTTGAGATAGTTTGAGCATGTTTGAGCTCTGGAGGTGTGCAATTTTCGCAGTTATTCGCAATGCCGGCAATGCCTTAGAATCATTCCAGGCGCCTCCAGGTCCAGGTTGGATTTCATTTCACTACGATCCCTTTTCCATTTTTGTGTCATGTCATGCGGAAAAAGATATAAAACATGTTCCAAACAGGTTTGCTCTTGCTGATCAGCTCACCACCAGGCTTCGAGTCTTCTCCAGCACTGGCATTCCAAATCGTCTGCAGGCAGAGATTTTGAATCCCTGGGTGGACCCTGATTGAATAGCTCAAGCACCCAGATTATCCCAGATTCCTGTTGATTCATGTGACTTGATCACAAGCCAGGCATTTCTTTTTGCTTGAAACCTGTGTATGATACTCCCCAAAAAGTTTGGATCTAGCATCAAGAGCTTATTTTCTATTTTATATAGATCATGCGCGCATGGATGTCGATGGACATCGGCGATATCGGATTTCCCGTGCAATGTCTACCTGTGCACCACCTGTTTTTCTTCCAGAGTTTCCTGTCCCAGGCCGAGTTTGAGGATTTCTTCACCCGCGGCCGTAGCGAAGCTCGTCCTCCAGCACCACCTTTGCCGCCAGCAGCACCAGCACCGGCACCGCCTGCGCCACCGGCGCTGGGCCAAGCGTTTGCGGTGGAAGTGCCAGGAGGACAGCGGCCGATTTTCAAACACGCGGTTCAAATGGTTCAAAGAGATGATATACAATGCTGTAGATGATATAGACGATTTTGTATATATATATATATAATTATATATATAATTATATATATAATTATATATACAATTAATTAATTATTACATATATATATATATATTATGCGTGTATAGTATATATATATATATGTGTGTGTGTGTGTAACATCTAAATAGATGTAAAACTCCTTTTCCTTTCTTCTTTCTTCTCCCTTCCTACTGTAATAGAGCAGGGGGTGCCGGGGGCACTGATGAGACCGGCACTAACAAAGACACTCATAAGTTGCCTGTGATATCGATGGGGACGCTCATCGACGTACCTGCACATTCCTTTTCTGTGATGGGAAGAGGCTCAACCCAAGAACCTCCATGTCGATTTTTACATTTTCACTGCGCTGTTGCCTCAACCTATGTTGGATGACGATTTATTTGTCGTTTTTTGGAGTTTGGTTTTATCTACGTTCGATATTTTCGGAAGACCTACACTTTACTCGCGAAGTACAGCCATGAGATCTACTTTAAGTCTAATTATCTAGGCTTGTTGCACGTTACAGGACTCAGTTCCTGATGGATCTCTTCAAAGATCCAATTTTGTCTAGTGTAATACCTATGGTGACTCCGACAAGGTGCCATAGGGCCACTGAAGGCAACCCTTTTCAGGGTGAATGTCGACTGATCGGATTACGGAATTGACACTTTTAACCTGGTAATTCGTTTACGTAAAGCGGAACAGTTGGCCTTTCGGTTTTCGTTTTTCAGCCGTTTTGCGATGTCCCGCTGGTCTTGCTGTCCCAGTGAACCCTGGTAAATGCACTTCTACGACAGTGAAGCCGTCTTGAACAGCCAAAAACTGTTTCTTCAGCTTTTGGAGTGACATTTGACTGAACAGCAACATGAAATATAGACCAGGCAGGTCCATGCTTGCAGGTGTGGTTTCTTTCTCTTAATGGTGTCTGGTGAGGTTGAACATTTTGTGCATCTAATTCGATGGAACTTGAACAGCTGTTTATGCCACTGCGGCACAACTTGACTACAGTCCCGAAGGGGAGTAACGCACGACCTCTGTTGTAGGTGGAACTGGGTCCTTTTTTAAGTTAATTGTTTTTGTTCTTCACGCTCGTCACCAACTAGTCCCCCATTTGGTCCCTAATCCTTCCCTCGAGCCTCGTGCCTCTCCGTATGTTGTCGTGGGGTTTAGGTGTGTGCTCTGTTTGTGGCAGGTCCGTTTCTCCGCGTAGGTTGGTTCTGGAGGTCCGTTCGTTCCCTTCCCCCCCCTGCGCTGTTTCGGCCTGTTGCCCGTCGTCTGTGTCCGCTTTTTCTACCTCTTGCCTTTCAGGGTTGACCCGGCTCCGGTCGGGTGTGTGTGCGTGTGTGTGTGTGTTTCCTTTTGTTTTTTCCTCTTTCCTCTTCCTTGTTTCTTCCTGTCCCCTCTCTTTGCTGTTGTCTTTCTGTGGCCTCTTGTTTCCCTCCGTCAGCTCCCTGGCTCAAGCTTCGCTTTCCTTTTGCTCCACTTTCGTTTGATCGCTCATGGATCATACTCAAGGACGAGCGTTCCATCATCATTTGGCTAGAGCTATCATGCATCTCAACTACTTGGCAGGTCTCTTGCCTTTCTTCGAGCCCTCCATCGAATATGATGAAGCGCCGCCTCCGGCCAATTTCCGTCTTGATCATCCAAACACCAGAGGCCTGCACACTTTTGTACCTCGCCCGACATCCGAAGGTCCTCCGACCTTGGTATCACATGGAGGCATCCCTTCCCACATGGTCTTGAATCCAGAACCATTTTTGCGACCGGCATCAACGAGCTCTCCACCAATCAATACATCTACTCTTGCCACTGGTACACCTCGGCCTGCCAGTGTTATAACGGACCCTGGTCCAACTCCGACTCCTGGTTCCACAACAACAATTACCTTCCCTACGGCCCCTACACGCACCACCACACCTGTGCCAGTACGATCAAAACAACGGTCATCATCTCTGGTGGATCCACAACCAAAAAAGAAACAGAAAGGGGAGTCAATTCCTGAACCTAGACTCGCCCACAATCTTGATGCTGTCCATTCGACATCGTTACCCATTCTCTCAGAGGCCCGTTCCACAGACATGAATTCGGATGACTCCGATGGTGAAGCCGCGTCAAGAGAAGACATCAGCTACATTCATTGTGGGAAGGCTAGACCCAGAACACCGCCTCTGACCTTGACTCCAAATCCAAAAGCCCCGCCGTCTCCATTGATGCACATCACTCATGCTATTCCGGCCAATACACCTCCTGATCCGGCTCGTCCGTGGACCCACGCCGACGACCAAGAATTGATTGGCATGAAACAGGACGCAAAGTCCAGACCTTCGTGGAAAACAATTGGAACAAGACTCCATCGCGATCCTCAGCTCTGCAAGCTTCGCTGGGGACTTCTGAAACAGACATCAGAAGTGAATGACCCACCGGGTCCGGGCAATCCACCTCATGAATTGGAGGGTGATGACTGACTTTAGCATCAATTCCTGCGATGTCAAAAAAGGCGCCATTGCTGCCTTTTTGTTGCTGTAGTTATTTTGCTTAGGGTTTCCCTTTCCTTTTGCTTTTCTCCATGTTTTTGAGATCTCCCTATGGTCTGTATTTCTTTTGCCTGGGATGAATGCTCTTACTTGGTATCTGTTCACCCACAGCAAGTATGGCTCATTCATATCATCGTCAACGAACAGCTCCTGACCGCTCCCGTTCTCGGGACGACAATATGTGGCAGAACCGTGGCACTCAGCAACATGATTGGCAACGAAATCCTCGACCTGAAGAACCTCCTCCTGCTCCTCAAGTCCGAAAAGTCTTGGTCATCGTTGACATTGAACAAGTCCGTCCGCTTATGAACAAAACCCATGATGACTCGATGGCCGCTACAACATGTGAGGTTCTCCCTCGCCTCACTCCGGTCGAAGAACGTGCATTGTTCACGTTCAACATCCTGCTCAATACACACCGGTTGGAAACCTTCACGGTGTACAACCTGTTGTATTGCATCAGCCAGCACATTTGGTATACGTGGGATCGATTCTTATCTCCTTCGGCCATGGACATCAGATGGCAAGATGATACTGGAGATACGTTTGTTCTCCGCAACGAAGAATACCTCGTCACCTACCTGAACGCATACCGCTCTCACTGGACTGAGGGGCAAGAACATAATGAGTTCTTTTCGCATCATATTCATCCCTTTACGTCTCACATTCAGCCTTACATTATGCGTTTGAGCTGCCATGAGGCTCTTCCAAACCGCAATATGCTTCCTTAAGGTTAAAAAGTCTCTTACATGTAGGGACATGGGACTCTCCCGCTATCTTGTGTGATTTGCTTTTGCTTCTTGTTGTTTTTACCTGCTAAATTCTTTAGCTCTCGGCTCCAGCTGTACCATGACCAGGCGTGATTCCTCATTTGCCGGTCTCACGCGTCCTTCCTCATCCATGAACAAGTCACGTCGTGTTTCATGGAGATCCCGCAGTCATGGCCAATCCAGTAGCACTGCTGCTCCTTCGGATCTAATGCAGCCACCCCGTGGCGACAATGATCCCCAAGCTGGAAGTTTCCTCTCACCTAATGCATCAGGCGAGTACACAACCAACTATGGGTACTCTTCGGCAAATCTTGCCACACCCATACCATCTCCTGCCGATCATCAAGCTCCAATTATACCTACTCCTACAGGAGAATCATATCCACTCCAGCAAGAGATGGAAGAAGTCCGACGTCAGCTCCATGCATACTATTTCGTGGAAGTCCAATCACCTCCAGAAGATGACAATCAACCGGCGCTTCGACGACTTATGGTGACGGAAGTGGATCGACGTGGCCGCCACCACAGTAGGCAGCCTGAATATTTTTTCAACGGCATCATCGGCCACGTTCGTGCCGGCCAGAATGGCTGGATTGATTCATGGGATCAATCCTCCCAGCTCGCCAACTACTGGCGACGCTACTTTCAGATCCCCGAGACCTCTCCATATGGCAACTGGCGTCCCTATCAAGCTGACGGACCAGAAAGCCCTATATCGGCACATGAATCCGCCATGGAAGACACCGATTCTCTCATTGCCAATGCTGACATCAATCCACCTCCTGTCCAGATTCACCAACTGGCAACGTTCTTCTGGAACGTCCTCAACAATGACAGGGAGGCCAACCTGGCCATACTCGAACGTCTGGAGGATCCTGAAGGAGATCTTTCCCGACACCCAGTTCAGATCTTCTCAGCGGCAGACTTGGCTCATCTTGCTAGCCACTTGGCGGAATCCACGAGGACCTTGTCTATCCAAGCACGACGCATGGAGGCCTTACCTGATGACAGCCTGTGAGTTTTAGGATTAATTCATTCGATGTTTCTTCCCTGTATTTTGAAGCCATTTCCGCTTCAGGGAACGGATAAGAGCTCTCCAGGTGATGAATTGAAAAAACGACCCTGCTGCGGCAGGGTGTGTGTGTGAAACGTCTGTATAGACGTAAAACTTCCATGGCATTGTTGAATCTGTTTTTTTGGTATTATTTCAGTTTTCAAACAAGCAGGGGGATGGAGTGTGCTTCAGATGTCTCCATCCAACGAAGACGCATCTGTTGCACAGTGATATGGATTGGGGACGCTCAATCCACGTACCTGCATCATTTTTCAGGAATGGGAAGAGGCTCAACCCAAGAACCTCCTTGCCGTCTAATTGTCAATGCTGATTCTCTGCACTGTTGTCGCAATCTGGCATTATTTTATTTTATTTTGGACTTCACTGCATCAGAACCTTCCTCAGAGCAAGGACGTAGAAAGTTTACTTCGCACTGAAATTCACGTTGGATCAACCAATTTTTCCTGGCAGTTTTTTAAGGGATTGTTTTGTGCACGTGTGATGCACTCCACAACAAAATTCGCAATGTTGTTTCTGAGCAAGTGTGTGTGTAACATCTAAATAGATGTAAAACTTCTCTCTCTTTTTCTTCCTTTGTCCTCTCCCTTTCTAATTCTAAATTCAATGCAGGGGGCCACCGGGGTCCCGGGGGGGTCGGTGGCCACCGAAGACACCCCCCCGGGACCCGTGTAAACGTACCTGCATTATTCGTAGGATGCATCGTTAATTTCATTGTTTCGTATCGAATCTGCATGTTTCAGGATTCAGTTCCAGCCGGATCATATAATGATCCATTCTTGTCTAGTGTGATTTCCATGGTGGCTCCGACATGGTGCCATGGAGCCATTTGAGGCAACCCTTTTTAGGGTGAGTGATGACTGTCCTGACTTCCGAATTAACACATTTTAATTTGGTAATTCATTTAAGTAAATTGCAACAGTTGGCCTTACGGTTTTTCAGCCATTTGGAGATTTCCTGCTGCTCCTGCGGTCCCATGTGAACCTTGAGAGATGCATTCTTCCTCGGGACGCCGTTCTGAACAACCACAAACCTCCGTTTTTTGCAGCTACTTTGCAGCATCGTTGCATCAACTCACGACATATGAATCAGGCAGGCACACGACTTTCAGGTGTGGTGTTTCTTTCTTTTGATGGTTGTCTGGTGAGGTTAAACATTTTGTGCATCTAATTCGATGGAACTTGAAAGCTGTTTTATGCCCTTGTGGCCGACTGGAACACGGGCCTGGATTGGCACAACGCACGACCTGTAGGTTTAGGAGCTGAACCCTGTTTTTAATTAATTGTTTTGGTTCTCTTGCCTGTCATTAACTAGTCCCCCATTTGGTCCCTAATTTTCCCCGCGTGCCTCTCCGTAATGTGTCGTGGGGTTTAGGTGTGTGCGCTGTTTTTGTCAGGTCCGTTTCGCCGTGTAGGTTGGTTCCGGAGGTCCGTCTGTTCCCCTCCCCCCCCGCGCTGTTTTTGGCCGTCTGCCCGTCGTATGTCCGCTTTGTTCTTCCTCTTGCCTTTCAGGGTTGACCCGGCTCCGGCCGGGTGTGTGTGTGTAACATCTAAATAGATGTAAAATTTCTCTCTTTTTTTCTTCCTTTGTCCTCTCGCTTTCTAATTCTAAATTCAATGCAGGGGGACACAGCACCGGGGTCCAACGAAGGGGGGTCCAGTGGCCAGCGGACGTTTCTGATGTGTAAACGTACCTGCATTATTCGTAGGATGCATCGTTAATTTCATTGTTTCGTATCTAATCTGCATGTTTCAGGATTCAGTTCCTGCCGGATCATATAATGATCCATTCTTGTCTAGTGTGATTTCCATGGTGGCTCCGACATGGTGCCATGGAGCCATTTGAGGCAACCCTTCTTCAGGGTGAGTGTGACTGTCTTGAATTCGAATTAACACATTTTAATTTGGTAATTCATTTAAGTAAAGTGCAACAGTTGGCCTTACGGTTTTGCCATCTTTGAGACGTCCTGCTGCTCCTGCGGTCCCAGGGACCTAGATGTTTTGCACTCTTCAAGTGAAGCCGTCTGAACACCAGAAACCTCCGTTTTTGCAGCAACGTTTGCAGCGAAAGTGCATCAAGTCATGACATATGAATCAGGCAGGCCCACGTCTTGCAGGTGTGGTATTCTTCTTTTTGATGGTTGTCTGGTGAGGTTAAACATTTTGTGCATCTAATTCGATGGAACTTGAAAGCTGTTTTATGCCCTTGTGGCCGACTGGAACACGGGCCTGGATTGGCACAACGCACGACCTGTAGGTTTAGGAGCTGAACCCTGTTTTTAATTAATTGTTTTGGTTCTCTTGCCTGTCATTAACTAGTCCCCCATTTGGTCCCTAATTTTCCCCGCGTGCCTCTCCGTAATGTGTCGTGGGGTTTAGGTGTGTGCGCTGTTTTTGGTCAGGTCCGTTTCGCCGTGTAGGTTGGTTCCGGAGGTCCGTCTGTTCCCCTCCCCCCCCTGCGCTGTTTTTGGCCGTCTGCCCGTCGTGTGTCCGCTTTTTTCTTCCTCTTGCCTTTCAGGGTTGACCCGGCTCCGGCCGGGTGTGTGTGTGTAACATCTAAATAGATGTAAAACTTCTCTCTCTTTTTCTTCCTTTGTCCTCTCCCTTTCTAATTCTAAATTCAATGCAGGGGGCCACCGGGGTCCCGGGGGGGTCGGTGGCCACCGAAGACACCCCCCCGGGACCCGTGTAAACGTACCTGCATTATTCGTAGGATGCATCGTTAATTTCATTGTTTCGTATCGAATCTGCATGTTTCAGGATTCAGTTCCTGCCGGATCATATAATGATCCATTCTTGTCTAGTGTGTGTGTGTGTGTAACATCTAAATAGATGTAAAACTCCTTTTTCTTTCTTCTTTCTTCTCCCTTCCTAATAGAGCAGGGGGTGCCAGGGGCACTGATGAGACCGGCACTAACAAAGACACCCATCAGTTGCCTGTGATATCGATGGGGACGCTCATCGACGTACCTGCACATTCCTTTTCTGTGATGGGAAGAGGCTCAACCCAAGAACCTCCATGTCGATTTTTACATTTTCAATGCACTGTTGCCGCAATCTATGTTGGATGACGATTTATTTGTCGTTTTTTGGAGTTTGGTTTTATCTACGTTCGATATTTTCGGAAGACCTACACTTTATTCGCGAAGTACAACCATGAGATCTACTCTGAGTCTAATTATCTAGGCTTGTTGCACGTTACAGGACTCAGTTCCTGATGGGTTTCTTCAAAGATCCAATTTTGTCTAGTGTGCGGGTGAGTGTGTGTGTTTTTTTTCTATGTTCGGTCCGGAAATGTTTGGAAAACACTCAGGTCTCCAGCTGGTGAAGCTTAAGATGTGGGTTTGTTGCAGGCGTCCATGCTGGCCAGCAGCTGATGGTGAAGAACCCCATGGATGGTTCCAACTTTTTGATCACAGTGCCTTTGGGCACGGGCCCAGGACTGCAGGCTAATCACTTAGAGATCGCACGTTTGATGCAAAAAAACGCAAAAAAAAAACAAAGAAAAATTGTACGCAAGGTACATTAGTAGTGAGAGTATGCGCGCTGTTTGTGTATGTTGCCAGGCAGGTTTCGATACATCCTTTTCTACAATTGCGGATGCTTTGCATTGACTTTGCCGCGCCTGCCGACTCATGCCTCCCAATAGAATAGTACAAGTCTAAGATCATCGCACCTCTCATGGTACCAGATCGAATGCGTTCGATGGGATCAATATCAATATAATATATAGATCTTCAGCTTTCAAAGGTCCACTGATCATCAAGTCTACTCACAATTAAGTCATATTAAGTGAAGTCATTTCCATCATGTTCATTCATTTTCATCATCCTTCAACCTTCAATTGAACACACTTTATCACATTTTATCAGACTTTCAGCATCTCTCAGCACTGGACGAGTGACGAGTGACTGCAGGATCCATCTTGCAGGTTTCGCCCCCCGCGGACGCATCCGGCTTGGGAATGGCGGTACCAAGCTCCAGCTCAGTCCAAGCACCAGCTGCAGGCGCCGAACCTGACGATGGATCATGGAACATCCCAAGTCACCATGGGTTTCAATACTACAATGGTGAGTTTGAGTCTAAGTTGGAAAATGGTGGATAACCAGATTTTAAGTAACCTTCATATGATGTGATGTCATATGATATGATACGATATATACATATATAACTCTAGATATATATGATATTAAATGGCTATAGATCATTATCATCATAGATATTGATAGATACTGTGAGTATGGAATCTGATGGAGATATGATATGGAATATGATATGGATTATGATATGGAATATGATACTGTATGGAATATGATATGGAATATGATGGAGTATGATGGAATATGTTGATATGGATTATTGTGATATTATATAAATGATCTAGATAGATTTAGTGTCGTGATGAATCATGATGGCGGAGGATATGATCACGAAATCATTATGATATCTATTATGCGGTCGAATCCTGATGGATTATTAATGCTGTGACTATAGTGATAGTGGTTGATTGCATTTGATTGTGAATGAAAACATCATGGGATATCATGGGTACTTGTAGCTGAAATTCCGGCGATGTTGGGTATTTCAATCTTTCTATGTATGTGTTTGCTGTTTGTATTTTGGATGTTTCTCTGTTTCGGTTCCTCCAGCCGATTCCAAGGCGCAGAGCAGAAGATCCTGTTGAGCATCTCCATTCCTCCAGGAGTTTCAGCGGGACAGACTCTGGGTGTCAAAGTGCCAGATGGACGCGAGCTCACAGTGGTCGTGCCACCAGGAGCCAACGACTGGAGCCACCGACTGGGTGGAGAAACTGAGAACCCCCCAAACAAATTTGTGTGTTTTGAAATGGACACACAATGCCATTTCTGACATTAATTTTTGAGGGTTCCAAGATGGTGTCTATGCATCTTCAGAACTGGGCTCCGCAAGGGGAAATAAAACAACGGACAACCGCCAGGGACATATGTATGACATATACATACATTTAGCACCAGTGAGACTGGTTGTAGCACCAACGAAAATTCATTTTTGCGAAAGGATGTGTCATTTGGATTTGCATATTAAATTTTGTTTTGCACCAAACGGACCTGACCTAGGCCATTCCTGGTCCTGGTCCAGGGAGGAAAACATCAAACAACGACACTTGCACAACCACAGCCCTTGAGCCATCTTCATCCATCTTGACCGATTTTCCAGCCATTCATCATAGTGTTCCAATATTTTTCTCATCAAAATTGCGATTTTGGGGGATATACCGTGGCATGCCGGCAACTGTGTCATATCCCATTTTTAGACCCACACGATCCACACGCAGGACTGGGACAACAGGAAGTGCAATTGGAATACGACACAGTTTCAGGGAGCCTTGATGTGGTCACCTCACAGCCATCAGCCCCAGCGGCCCCATCGGCGCCGCCAGCGCCAGCGCCTGTAGCAGCAATGGCACCAATGGCACCAGCTGCAGGTGTTAGATTTGTTATGTGTTGATATGTGTTGTGTTGTTCACCTTTATTTACCATTGTTCACCCTTTTCTTTTGGGGAGCAAGTGAGGTTATGACATATTCTGAAATGATTAATTATGAATTGCTCTGACATCTCTGACCTCAAGAGGAGTAGCAAAATGATGTTCCCCACTTAATGGATGTTAATGTTAATGGAGCATAATGGAGCATCCGATGCTTCTAGACTCTAGACAATCCTTTGAATATCGAACATCATCGAACCATGAAGCTCTTAGACAGGGATTCAATGGATGTTTCCATATGTTTCCATATGTTTCCCTTTGAATTTATATGAATTTATCACAATATATCATAAGTATCATAATCCTCAGATATCCTCAGCATCGCAGTGTCCTGGAGGCGGTGAACACTTCAACTTTCGAATTCCTCGGGGCGTTGTGCCGGGACAGATCGTGAAGATCCAGGTGCCAGATGGACGTTACTTGCCCTTGCTCATTCCAAACTACAAATTTGCCGGAGATGCTCAGCTCAAAAGGAAACTGCTCTTCTGAAGATTCAGGACATTTCAGTTTATATGGTCATATTATGTCATATTGACAGACACGCACAAATTGCATGCAGCTATATATGCCATATGACCATTTATGATCATATTATGGACGTATTGAAAGTGATTTTGTGAAGAACTTTTGTTTGGCAAGGGGGTCACTTTCTTTGGGCCGTTGTTCCTTCTTAGAAATGTATATCATGGGAATCAGCCACCACAGATTTACGGCATAGTTTGGCATAGTTTGGCTACTGGTATATCCTGGTGATCATTGGGTTCCCGAGGATGACATCCTGCTTCGTCTGGATTCAGCTGGCTCCAAGCTTGTGATTGTAGCATAGCTGGTCAGGCAATCCGTGGGAATTGCTGCTGAATTTGCCACAAGAGATGTGCGAGATGATTGTGCTGAACGCATGATACAACTTGCGAATTGTTGCACGCGGGGTAGGCTCACTGTAAGACTCAGGGTGCAAGGCTAGAATGACAGCAGGGAGCCAAAGTTGCCAGTACAAGATAGTAACTCAGATAGTAGAAGCAATATAATAGCCTTATACTGTATATTATAAAGTCTTTGCAATGGATCCTATTTGACTTCAAACTTTACCGCTCCGGTCCTAAAAGTTGACCCTGCAGGAGGTGCCTTGGGCCACATCTCTGGTCTGTTACTGAAGGATACTGAAGGTTTCATCGGTTAATGCGTTGTTTCGCCGCACCACATGCGGGGACTTCATTGGTGGTCCTTTCTGGGTGTGGCCGCGGTGCGGACGGACCCAATGGAACCATTGGAAGTACAGGAAGCCGTAGCCGCCCTTTTGCATCTTTTTGCTGAGAGTTGAAACTCAAAAGATACGTTGGGAAAGTGGCAAAGCTTCATTGTTCGTCCCTGTAGCATCTGTAGCTTGTAAGTGCATCCATACATACCTCACTATGGGCAACCAAGGCATGAATACTAATTCTGTTCTGGGCATATAGCTAGATTCGGTTGGTCATAAGCATCAGGGCCCACTGGCATCATAGCACCATGACCTCCAATCTAGACATGTGACATCACGGAGTATGTTTCCAGGGTTGAATCCTACTGCAGTCAGTGGAATACCGGGTGCATATCCAGGGGAACAATGAATATTCATGAATCTCACAGATACTGTAGATACCTTTAAGATCATTTGAGATGGTGTGACCTGATTCTTGGATACTTTTGGCTGCTGGTCTTTCAATGGCTGAAAGCTATCGTTGTGGCAGGTGAACAACCAAGAATTGGATGCCACCAGAGGCGTATTACTTGACCAGCCATGGGATGTGAACATACTCTGGAGGGAGGGCTCATCCATACTCATCCTACACGTTTTTATCCTACACAGACTGTACAACCGTTGAGAAGGTCAATGTCCATCCGAAGGCCATCGTTGACATGTCATGACCAACAAGGGCCCGAAAGATGCCATCCCCAGGTGCAATCGCAACAAGAGCCCTTGAGATGGAAGCGTCCCATGCCCAGCGGGCTGATTGCCCCAGGAAAACACCGCAACATCCATTTTTCTCCATTCATCTCGGTTCACATGTTCAGAAGGCGGATATTTTGCACAGACAGATTTTTAACTACTGAATATTGACATTCTGCAAGTAATTTGATTGTTTTTGTATGTCCCACCGTGGCTTTTGACATACCCTTGATATCCTTGACGTTTTTGCGCAAAGTATGGATATCTATAAAAAAAAAAGATATCTATGGATATCTTGGTAGATGTGTCCGCATGAGTTTACATGAACATGAGTTTGCAATCCTTGCGTCTGTTCAGGTTAAGGCCAAGAGGGGATTCTGAATGATTCTGGGATTCTTAGCTTCAAGTCTTGAAACACGAAACATATTGGTAGAAACCAATCATAACCACTCTTTCAACACATTTATCCGGATGTAGACTATACGACTATATGGAACTTGTTGCAATGATTCACATCTCTGCTGAATATGTTGATATTTGGGAGCTGGAAGATCAATGCATCGCTATGTGTGGCTGCCACGGGATCCACGCTGCAAGGGTGACATGAGAAATTGATAGAAGTTCTGTGTACTGGTCAAGCTAGCAGGGTAGAACAGTAGAACGCCTTTGGGCGCCCCTGGGTCTCCACATTACACTACACATTACACAACATTACACAACAATATCAACGAGCTGGCCATGCGACTATTGCGACTGGCCACATCCACCAGGTCATACCAGGTCGCACCAGGTCCTCGCAGCCTGAGTTGTCCCATGTCGCCCATGTCGCCCATGACTTGTCCATGAGTTGGTCACCTGTGGGCCGGGCTGCTTTGGAAAGGCCACTTGACCGTGCCTGCACTGTCCCAGCGTTTCAGAATGTTTCACATTGTATTGAGGTGTGTTGACGCTGCACATGGCAGATTTGGGATATTTGGGGGGAGTCGGATTCATAAATATGCCGTCCCACAGTCCCACATACATGAAAGTTGATTATCGTAAATTTGCAGTTTGTTGTTGACGCTGTTGACTCTCTACCAAGGCTGCCCAGCCCACACTTGCGTGTTGCTTCTGGGTTGAGCTGGCATGATGTGAATGTCGATGGTGAGGACAAGTTGAAACTTGACGCCACTTGAGTCTTGAACGACGTTCCCCACAAAGAGCTAGGCTGCCAACTCCATATACCCTCTGGTAATTTAACATAGCTATTGAAAATCTCAATTTTTAATGGGAAAATCCACTATTTCTATGGTCATTTTCAATAGCTACGTTAGTCATAACCAGAGGGTACTCCATGATGCGAGTTCGATAGGAGTTCGATGGTGCCATGTGGTGCCATTGAGCGCAGGTCATCCCGGTCCCAGCTTCCCAATGTCTCAGGATACCAATCCCAGTGGCTGTGACTTGGCATCCGCATGGCAGGTGCTGCACCGTATCCGCAGCACGAGTTCCTCTCTTTGGTTTTTGGGGCCATTTAAGAATGACATGTCAATGTATGGAAAACGAGGCGGTTGAAGATTGGTGCGGGCGACCTCTCCGTAGTTTTAGTTTTGATTGATTCACTTGTTTCCTGGAGAACGGGAGGGTTGCTCTCTCCAAGTGATTCACTGAAGCTTGCAGACATTTCAGTACTTGAAGCGGTGGCCTCGCGTCCCACACAGCAAACAAGTGTCTTTCCGTGGTTCTTTCCAAGAAGCAAAACAGCATCTCAAGGGTCAAGGGCACAATTGCCTTTTACAACCTGTAAACTAAACCCTTGAAAACAGGTTGCAGTTGCTTATCATGATTATCATGTTATTGTTTTCCCACTGCTCCTTTTGTCTCGTGGCAATGGCTGAAAAGAGCCCCACATGGCCACGTATGCTTCGATGTTTCGCAGTTTCATGGCCCTGGTTTCATGGGGCTCCGCGGAGCCCTGGATCTTGCAAGAGTTGAGTGCCTTGCCCTTCAACCAGAGCTGATGAAAAATATGACAAATGGGTAAAAAATACAAACGGGGTCACAGGATCAGTGGAACCCAAAATGCCGAAATGGAAAATATCTGCAACGAGTTGAAGACAATGATGAACTTCAATAGTATACCCCGGTCAAGTTGAGAAGCTTGGTTGCACCTAGCGGTTTTCGTTCAAAGCGCCGTCAACTACATACTGTAATTAGTCATGATTCCGTAGCAAAATAGCACAAAAGCATTAAAAAGAAACATTGTAGAGAATACAAGTATCATTACGACGGGATGATGGAGTTGCTGATCTGTGTTTGCAAAATATCATGAAATTATAGTAAACTATGTATATATATATATATATGCGTGTGTGTGTGATTATGTGATTATGTGTGTGCGTGTGCGTGTGCGTGTTTGCAAACTGCGGTATTTTATCAGTACATAGACATCCACACAATGAATCCATGCGGAATCCATGCGGGAGCATGACCCATTGGTCGATGGAACCTTCAACTGAAGGATTTGTGAATATTCCCAGCAGACAGATTATATGCAGACCATATTTAAATTTTGGTATCCGCTAGTTTCAGTTAGATATTCGTTGTTTGATATGCGAGATCCCTCGTGCACAACCATGGCCAGAGGCAAATGGCATTTGGAAGATTTTGACTGTGTGCAGCACAGCTCGCTGGTGGATTGGACCAGCCTTGGACGCTGGTTACAGTCTTGACAGTTGGGGTCAGATGTCTGCAGGTACCATTATAGGTTTGTCGATCGAACATGATCACACACGTGAACATACTGGATTAATATATGGGAGCCGTCCGTAAAAGCAGGTCACAAATTTATGAATTGATGCGTTTACTTTGCTTTGCGCGATTGCTAAAACCTGCATCGCGATAGGCTGAGCGATTGGTTGGCGATTGGTTATACGGCTACCACCCTATTACTACTATTACTACTATTACTACTACTACTACTAGTACTACTACTACTAGTACTACTACTACTAGTACTACTACTACTAGTACTAGTACTAGTACTAGTACTAGTACTAGTACTAGTACTAGTACTACTACTATTACTACTACTACTACTATTACTACTACTACTACTACTTTCGAGACCAGAACCATGCCAATAATTGACATGGCCGCGCGGATTCCGCAATCCGCGCAGATGTTTTCAGGTCAGAAGGACATTCAAGCTAGCTCCAATTGAAAACAGGTCAGAAACAGGTCAGAAACAGGTCAGAAACACCAAAAAGGCAGCACTTGCCTAGCATCCCATCCATCCATCCATCCATCCACCTCAGCTCTTATCATTGCTACTAATACTACTACTACTACTCCTGCTACTACTACTACTGCTACTACTACTGCTACTACTGCTACTACTACTACTACTCCTACTACTACTCCTACTCCTACTCCTACTCCTACTACTCCTACTCCTACTCCTACTCCTACTACTGGTATTACTGTGAGTTTTCCGGACCGTTTCCGGACCGCGCAATTTTCTTTTCTTTTCAAATATGAAAACGAATGCGTTCATGGGCGGATCCTTCTACTAGTGTTGCTACTACTCTCAGTATTACCACTAGCGCCGCTACCACTGCAACGCCGCTACCACTACTACACCGAGGAATTTTTGCCTTTGCTTTTCTCCACTTGACAGAAGTTCCACGGAAGGGTCAGAAATAGTCAGAAACCAGTCAGAAACCGGCCAAACGCAACCTCTCTCTCTCTCTCCCTTGCCTATTCCCTCACCCTCCTACCAGAACTCCTACGCCTACTCCTATTCCAATTTCCACTACCACTACTGCTAGTGCTACTGCTACTGCTAGTGCACTGTGAGTTTTCCGGACCGTTTCCGGACCGCACAAGCTTATTTTGCTCCCAAATTTGAAATCGAATGCGTTCACGCATGGATCCTTACTCTCATTACTAGATTTGCTACCACCCCCAGCACTACCACCACACCCGCTGCTACTGCACCACCCTGCACCACCACTACCACCACTACCACTAGTACACCTAGGAATTTCTGCTCTTGCTTTTAAATCCAATTGCACTTGTGTGAAGGGTCAGAAACGAGTCAGAAACCAGTCAGAAACCCGTCAGAAACCGGCCAAACGCAATCTCTCTCTCTTTCTCTCTCTCCCTTGCCTATTCCCTCACCCTCCCATCAGAACTCCTACGCCTACTCCTATTGCAATTTCCACTACCACTACTGCTAGTGCTACTGCTACTGCTAGTCCTGCTGGTACTACTGTGAGTTTTCCGGACCGTTTCCGGACCGCGCAAGCTTATTTTGCTTCCAAATTTGAAATCGAATGCGTTCACGCATGGATCCTTACTCCCACTACTAGATTTGCTACTACTCTTAGTACTACCACCACACCCGCTGCTACTGCACCACCACTACCACTAGTACACCTAGGAATTTCTGCTCTTGCTTTTAAATCCAATTGACACGAGTTCCGCTGAAGGGTCAGAAACGAGTCAGAAACCAGTCAGAAACCCGTCAGAAACCGGTCAAACGCAACCATCTGTTTCCCCCTCCCTCCCTCTCTCTCTCTCTTTCTCTCTTTCCCTCCCTCTCCCTTTCTTCCCTTGCCCTGCTACTAGAACTCCTTCTCCTATTCCTACTCCTACTCCTACTCCTACTCTTACCCCTCCTACTACTACTACTACTACTACTACTACTACTACTACTAGTACTACTAGTACTACTAGTACTACTAGTACTACTAGTACTACTAGTACTACTAGTACTACTGCTGCTGGTACTACTGTGAGTTTTCCGGACCGTTTCCGGACCGCGCGAGCTTATTTTGTTCCCAAATTTGAAATCGAATGCGTTCACGCATGGATCCTCATTATATAATACATAACTTATATTTTATGTATATGATCTGATCAACGAAGAACAAACCCTTCCGCGATTGCTCACTGTGGTACCGCGGTTGCTACGCGATTGGCTGAGCGATTGAAGGCTGTCCGGGAAAAGGTATTTTGGACAACCCCCATATATATATATACACCTAACATTTTGTTTAAATATGCATGCATATTGAACGTATTGAAGCACATACCGCGATGGACAGAGAGATTTTAGTACATGCAGCTGTAAGAGTTGAGGCATCGGACTTGATCCTGTTGGCTGCAGCCCAGGAAATGAGGCTGCTGCGTTCAACAGGGCCTGGAGAGTGAAGACAGCTCCGCCTGTACACCTGTGCCCATCAGACCTGGCTGAGTCCAAGAACCTGAGGCTGGGAGAAGTCATGGGGATCAAGCGAGAAGCGCCGCATAGTGCCGCAAACCCTTGAAAGTTGGCAGTTGAAAGCAGATAGCACAGAAAAATGACACAGATTCCATGGGATCAAATCAGATTCACGAATGTGTGCGAAGCGCCCTTCACAGAGATTCCTTATAATTGATCATAATTGCATATAATTGCACTGCACAAAGCAAAAATGCTCACCCAAGCGCATGTCACATGTGTCACCCAGGGAACCCCGACGATGGACCGGTGAAGTGGGTGTTGTGCTGAAGCAGCCAGAGGTCGCAGCAATCAAGCCGCAACAGTCTGTTTTCAGATTTCAGAATGTTTCTGGAGGGTTGAGCCATCTGGAGTCAGATGGCAGAATAGTTTGCAGTGTTAGTCACAGCAATGGCCTTGTCATGCATTGTTTGCATTCTCCTGCGCCAGCCAATTTGATGCATATGTGTATCATTTTGTGGTACTTTCTTTGGAAAGCCTGCACCCCCAGGCTGAGGTCTATAGCATGAGGGGTCAATTATTCCTGACCATGCACTTGTTTGTTGTGTAATACTATTCCAAGGGCCGAGTTTAATAAATTTACTGTAAAGCTGTCACCCACACCTGGGGTGTCATGAACTTGTCACTGATCCGAGCAACCCACGGCATCCAAGGCAGATGAATGTCCCCTTGGAGCATTTACAGCTGCTGTGATGGATTTGATATGTGCCTCAAACTGCCGGCCCGATGCTTGACATGCTGGCCATCCAAGCAGCAGTTACCAGTGGTTCCAGTGGTGAAGTTGGGGTGTTCCGTTTGGCCCATGCTGTGCCAAGGAACACGCCGTAAGTCAGCAACTCTGGAGCCGAGCTTTACGTTTTCACAGGAGCGAGACCGGCGAGACCTTTGCAAATGTGCCGAGTAGCACAGGTGCTGCGTGGCTGTCCCTGGGTCAAAACATAATGGCCGATTCAGTCCTGTGGCTGTAGGAAACCCAACAAAGGGCCAAGCCACACAAGTAAAACGAGAAAAGAATGGGTGCTAAAGTTATATGATTCGCATCGAGCCACAGATTGGAAATGTTTAATTTGTTTTTTTCATTTTTTTCATTTGGGTTTTCATTTGTAACTTAATTTTCATTTTCATTTTCATTATCATTTTCATTATCATTTTTTTTCATTTTTTTTCATTTTTTTCATTTTTTTTCATTTTCTTTTCTTCAAACTTCATTTTTTTTTTCATTCCAAACTTCATTTTTTTTTCATTTCAAACTTCATTTTTTTCATTTCAAACTTCATTTTTTTTCATTTCAAACTTCATATTTTTTGTTTCAGTGTCAGCTATTTTGCAGCTACTTTAGATGATGTTGCAGCTATTTTAGGTGATTTTAGTATATATGTTGGATAAGTTTAGATTATATTATATATATACATATATATATATATATAAGTTGCACTTTTCAATAAAAATCACTGTATGTAATAAATTGCACTTTTCAAGTGTTCCAGGGGCGGCTTTGGTTGTAATTGTAATTATAATTGTAATGATGTAATGAGCAATAAGTTTTTAACTTGGGTTTTGGCACTACCATTGTGCTGGCTTCACTGAATGGTGATCTTTTATTTGGTTATTTGGTAATTTTTGAATAATGAAATGTGTTTAAGTTAAGTTTTTAATCAAATATGTGTTATTGGTCCATTGGTTTTACAAAAATAGATTCATAGATTAACCAAGTAAAAGATGTAAGGAAATGAAATAGATTTTAATATATTTAATATGGTTTAATTCCTTTTAGTAATATTTAATAAAGATTGCAGTATATCACACGTCATGTTGAGATCCATCCATCCAAGGTTTGGAACCTCTGCTTGGCCAGTGGCCCAGCTCCTCAGCAAGTGGGCATCGAACTGCACCCAGCGATTGCCCAAAGATCCCAGAGCTGCCCCATGCCACTTGGAAGGTTGAGCAATGCGTGGCAACATTTATGACATATTTATGACATTGTAATTGCAAAATGAAAGGAGCATGTGGATAATTATGGATAATTAATGATATATAATTGGTGAGAATATGTGATAATATATTATGATAACATCATGTAATGACGAGACATTGTGTTCCCTTGTATTCCCTTGTGATGCATCGAAAAGCCGATCCGGTTCAGATTGAGCTGGGCAGCAATTCTCGCTTATGGATGCTTATGGGTACTTATCGCAGGTTCTCACCAGCCTCTCCTCGCTTTTCGAACAGCTCTGCACAGGACAGCTTTGAGATTTTATTAGCTGCTTGTTCCTGAGTTGTGCCTGTCCACTGGGTCAAAAGATGTCAATCACCTACCAGGAGTTGAACCTGTTGATTTGTTAAAGTGTAGACTAGACTAGACTAGACTAATATTACTGTACCAGAATCCAGAATTCCAATGCAACAGAATTGGGTTTTTTCATGCTGCAATGTTTCTAAATGTTTCTAGTTTTGCACACACTTGGGAGTAAATTCGGAGCCTAGTTAGCACCTTTGAGCACATTGCCACCTGAGCACATTGCTAGTTGCAGCAGCAAAACCTTCACTGTTTTGAGTCCACTCCTGGGGTAGGCATGAGAAGCAAAAATAGAAGTTGTTGTTGACAGATAATGCAATGCAACGCTGCCGCAAGCCTGTTCGTAGGATGGCAGATGCAACACTGGCAAATGTCTTGGAAGCGTCTGGGCCAAAGGCCCTTATTTTTGATGCGCGACTGGACCTTTGCCTTGGTTTACATCGATTAACGGGTTGTGACGAGATGATAGACACATAGTACACTGGATGTGGATGGAGTGTGACAGTATATTACTATATAAAATCTTCGCAAGAATCCCAAGAGCCAGAGAAATCTCAAACCAATACTTCATTCTAGCACACACATCCCACACATTGTCATGGAAAACCATTTGTGCCGCTCCTGAATTCTGACTGAATTCAGCCCGGCTTAGACTTTTTCAGAAATCGGCTGCATTCGGGTGCATGTGTCACAATATGTCACAACAAAGATCAGCAGTTGCATTCCAGTTGCTGTAAATTGGACATATTTGGACAGTGCAGTGTCATGAGGGTAGCATCAATGGTAGCATCAAGCGGTTCCACGGTTCCACCAAAAAAAAGCTGCGCAATTTTTGCTGAGGACCACTTCGCCAGCGCTTCCCTTCAAGTTCTCCGTGAGTTGGCCCAGTGACCTGGACCCCATGAATTACAATGACACATATACAGTATATATATATATTATATTATATATAGAATATATATGTGCACAATTATGCATATATATTTATACTGTAAATATATATTTATATATATATATTATATATTATATATAGTTATATACAACCATATATATATATATATTATATAATCACAATGTGTGTGTTACATGTTGATGCAGATTATTGGGAAAGTAATGGGTAAATTGTTTGGGAAAGAGAAAAGAACGCTATTCACCTTAGTTAAATACTATATCAAGCCAAGTTTGGTTATTCGGCAAACTTTCTTTTCAATAAAATGTGAAGCAATTTGTTGCCCGCCAAAGAAGCGAAGGATTGAATATTGATCAGATGTACGACAACATGGTGGGACAATGTGGGACAATTGGACAGCTTGGTCTGCTGTGCAGAGGTCCACGCGTGGCCATCAGCGCTTTTCTGAATACAGCGAAAGAAGATTTCCGCACTGCAGCGTTGAAGTGGCAACAAAGGCGCGGGCTATGACCAGGTGGCTGAAGGGATTGGTAAAATTACCAGCGACACTTGAGGTTTTGGACCTTGCAAATCCAACATTGAAAATATTAGTAACCAATTAATTAATTAATTAATTAATTAATATAGCCAAATGGAACAACAGATTCAGCTGGCAGGCAGCATCACAGAAATAGATGGGAGTCAAATAGTTTGCCTAGCTTGTCACAGCTACTTGTCACTGCTACTTGTCACTGCTACTTGTCACTTGTCGTGCAGGAAGTGCTGCTGTTGTACCTCAGACTCCTTGGGCCAACTGTCCCAGCAGTTGCAGATCCATTGGGGCAGATGCGAACAGAGTCTTTGACAGTGGAGGGCAAGTGGGCTCCCAGCGTGTCATGATGTGTCCTTTATTCCTGTGAGCTGCCACTAGCGTCACAAGATCCAATCTCTTAATGGCAAATTTGAAAACACGATGAACACCAGCGAAATAGATCTTGATGCAGCAATTCGATGCAATTCAGTCCTGATTTCAGGGCTCTAATCATTGTCATAGCAGCGTTGTTCCTGCATGACTCGTGCCGGAGATGAGTAACGGGCTCAAAAAGTGAGGCTCAAAAAGTGAGCTTACAGTTCACTAAGGAATGTTGCACGGAGAATGTTTCCTGGAGTCGACAGTTGGATTTCATCCCATGTGCATAAATCGAGAAGTGTAACAAGTTCAATCACCTGTACATCCCAGGTGCACCTTTAGGTCCAAATCACGGTAAAAGGCTGCCTACTTCAGTTTGGTAGCGGAGCTGGTTAGCCCAGTCTCCAACTTTCCCCTTTTCGAACTTCTCGCACTCCGGTGTCACGCCATTGCACTACGATCTTCGAGCTGTTCTCGCTGGGCTGCGCTGCTGTGGTGGTCGAGCCTTTTGGGGCGCACTACATCATTGCGTTTGTCCTGACAGAGAATGGCTACAGCGGCTTCCAGCTCTACCGGAGGAGGAATCCCGCTGGATGAGTACCGACGGGACGTGCCGCCGGGTTGGAGTCCGGGCAACATGGACTACCCGCTGAAGCTCTACCTGGAGCGGGTGAAGATGTGGTACCGGATTTATGAAGGCCCAGATGAATCCGTTGGACCACTACTTGCTGGGCGACTCCGTGGACGAGCTCAACAGATAGCTTTGACACTACGCCTTCCCGATCCTCATGGTGGAGTGGACATCGGAGACAGCGCTCTGGTCAGGCTATCAGTTGATGAAGTCCGAGACCCAGTCAATGGCCAGGTGATCCAACAGGCGATTCCTAGCGGAGTTCAGGCACTACTTGCCGCTCTTCGAGCCGCCTTTGGAGAAGCAGATCAACTACGTGCGACGCGGGCTATGGAGGTCTTCTTCGAGTTCAAAAGAGGTCGCATGGCGCTGCCGGAATGGTCAGTCCAATGGCAGCTGAACTTGGACGAGGCCATCACGCATAGCGGCCTGGACCTCAACAATGTGGCCCGAACCTACCTCTACCTGAAGTCGTCGCAGCTGAGCCAAAAGACGATAGATGATCTACTTCTTCAAGTTCATGGAGACATGGCCAGGTTCGACGAGATCCGCACCCTCATGCTGAGGATGTCCCACAGGAGCTTTGATGCTGGCTCCCACTCAGCGCTCTATGAGGACGGATCGCAATCCTATGGCGAAGATGATGGTTCCTGGAGTGCTGTCACTGACAGCTGGTCAGACAGCGGCCCTGTTGGCACCTACCACATGGACGAGCTCTACGCATGGTATGATGATGGATGGTATGGTGAACCTTGGGACTATGAGGAGGCCGACTACGACAGCTACTACCAGGACTGGCCCGAGCACTATGACTATGGCTGGGACGACGAACAACCAGAAGATGATGGAGCCGATCAGAAGGAAGACTCCGGCAACACCCAGTCTGAGAAGGAGGACTACTTCAAGGGCAAGGGCCGGCCTTCGTCAATGGGCCTTGGATGTGGCACTTGTGGGAGCAAATGGCACAACACCCACTCGTGCCCCTTGAATGATGCTCAGAAAGGAAAAGGAAAGAACTATGGCAAGAACAAGGGCAAGTACAAGGGGTCCGGCAAAGGCAAGGGCTATGGGAAGAGCTTCAACAGGAAAGGCTTTGGAAGACCCAAGGGCTACAAGGGCTTCGGCAAGAAAGGATCCTTCAATGGTGGACGTTTTGGTCGCAAAGGATACCTCTTGGATGAGATGCCGAAGAGCTACATGGACTACTACGGCGGTGCCTATCTCATGAACAAGAACGGCATTCAGGACACCAACGACGTTCAGGAGAATGCCAACATCCCTGAGGTGACCATTCGAGACACCTTCAATGTGGAGGACGCCAACAAGCTCTTTCCTGGTCGAAAAGTTCGCTTTGCAGATCATCCTGAACAAGAATCTCCAACCGATGGCAACAGTGAACAACGACCGAAGAAGCTCAACTTCCCTGAGATCAACGAGAACTCCTTTGAGAGCTACCACACAGTTCGAGGCAAGAAGATCTGTGGGTTGCTTGTGGACCCTGGAGCAAGCTCAGGCCTTGTCGGTACTGACACGCTGCGAGAGCTCTTGGACTCCGGCATGGTACCCCAGGACAAGGTCAAGGAGATCACATGGGGCCCATCTTCAACTACGGTGACAGGGATTTCTGGCCAGGCAGACAGCACTTTGGCCAGAGTTTCTCTCCCTTTTGGACTTGGCTTGAAGGAGGCTGAGTACACTGCAGACCTCATTGGTGGTTCCGGGAGTACCTGTCCTGCACTTCTGCCCAACACCAGCTTGAGACAGCTGAGGACGGTCATGCTGACCCAATGGTACGAGAATGGCGACGGTGTGATGATTTGCAGCACCAATGGCCTTCGACCGGACCATCCACAAGCCGATCTGGTCGTCACCAAGTTGCTTCTTGCTGAGTCAGGTCACTACATCTTACCAGTCAACCAGGTGGACCAAACTATGACGGAGGATGAGAAGACCGAGATCTTGAGACTCTGGCGATGCAAGAAGAAGACCGGCCAAGCAGCAGCACGTGAGCAGAGCGACAATTGCCATCTCCACGACAACTCTCTCAACATCGACAGCAACAAGCTCCAGTTCAACACTGAGACACTGGAGTCTGAACCTCCATCACTACCAGAACCCAAGATGAATGACAACAACCACAACGATGTCAAGATCTCCATGAAGGTTGACGACACCGAGCCGGCCATCCAGGTCTTGAAGGTGGACACCATGGACGAGGAGTACGACGAGACACAACAGTCGTATCCTGGAGATCAATTTCCTGCACATCTCTCCAACGGCAAGCTGAAGTACCTGTCCAAGCTCTACAAGGCCATCCCAGAGGAGTTCTACACGAAGACACGTCGTGCACCAGTCACTCCAAGGAATGCAAGATCATGGGCACGAAATCGGAAGAACTCTCACTTCCATCTCTGGGAGTTTTGCAGCGGCTCTGGAAGACTATCTTTTCTGGCAGTGTGCGCTGGCTTGATGGTGATGTTTCCCCTGGACTACCGGTACGGCTGGGATCTTGGATGCTCCTCGCATCGCAAGTTGATTGACGAGATCGAGAACAACCTTGCCCCTGATGTGGAGTACATGAGTCCAGCCTGTCGACCGTGGTCAATTGCATCTACACGAAGGGACTTGGAACAAACCCAACGTGAACGTGATGAAGAGATGCCCACGATCGAGTACCTCAAGTCCAAGGCCAAGAAACAATGTCGCAACCATCGGGGTTATGTCTGGGAACAGCCATGGTCTTCTGCAATGTGGCCTCACTTGGAAGACAACCCAGGCGACATCCAACGCACAGACCAATGCCGCTTTGGAGCTTGTGACGAAGTACAAAACCCAATTCTGAAACCAACTGGATTGCAGAGCAGCCTCGCTCTACGTCACAGCCTCAGAAGATGCAAAGGACACATGGGCAAGAGACATGGATGGCTTCAAGGACAATATCAAGGAGCTTGCCGCACAACTCTTGCCGCCATCTACCCTGAGGCTCTATGTCGTGCCATCATCAAGGACGTGAAGCGCTTCGTGAGCAACAAGACCACTGTCTTCAGCGACTTCTACAAGTGTGAACGCTGTGCTTTGGGACGCGCTGCCACTGATGATTTGAGGCACTCCTTCATTCCTGGAGAATGTCGACATGGACGATGGCCTGAAGGAGAAGGACCCAAAGACAAGAAGAAGGCTGAACAAGAACGACGTGAACAAGATGATCTTTGGGAAACCTTCCGCAAAGAAGCCATCAAGAACGAGAAGGTTGGTGCTGGAAAAGTCTCTGCCCACTCCGACTTTGCCTTTGACAACGAGCAGTTGCTGATCTTCAAGATGGTCATGGTCAAGCTGCCCGACGAAAGCATCAAGGAGTTTGAGCTGGCAGAGATGGAGAAGCGCGACTACGAGCAGAACCATTGGCTTCAAGATCCCACAGCACTTGGCTGGATCAAGAAGGTCTTCAAGGACTACATGGACGTCAAGGGAGTGATGTCAAACCTACTCCCTTGGAGCAAGCCAACACCAGCACCAGTTCTGACCTTGGAGCAAGCGCCACTACGACTCCTCATCCAAGGATCAGTTATGCGGTGGACCATTGGAAAGATGGAAGATCTACGAGAACTTTCAGCCAGTCAGATCCACGAGCCCATGGAGTTGGACGACGATTGGATGGTGGCCATCTTTGGCAGTGATCCCAACCAGAAGGCAACTACATCATCCTCTTCATCAACAGCATTGGTGCCGGTGGATCAGCTGAAGGAAGACCAAGAAGAACTTGCAGGTGATCTGGTCCCTTTGGAACCTCCAGAACATGACAGTGAGGAGCCTGACAAGATCGCAGTTCATCCTGGTGGCCTCAAGCCGACCTACGACTTCAGAAGGATCTTCAAGAAGCTCCCACGTCTTGCTCTGGATGATGAGACCGCTGCGAAGAGGCTCATACTTGGACTCCACGAACGTCTTTGGCATTCTGGCCTCACCGACACCGTGAACATCCTACGACGTTGTGGAATGCCTCACCATGTTTGCCGACTTGCCCCTGACGCAGTGGCCTCATGCATGATCTGCCGGAAGTACTCCAGAGCTGGCAGACGACCTCAACACAAGGGAGTCAACCTCTCCTGCAACTTCAATGACTTGGTCCAGACAGACATCTTCCACTTCCAAGACGAGATCTACCTCATCACTGTGGACGAAGCCACACGCTACAAGATTGCCACGAAATGCACTGGGCGCTTTCTCAAGGACATTCTCTCTGCCCTGATGACTTCCTGGATCAGGTTCTTTGGACCTATGCGAGTCTTGGTGACAGATCAGGAATCCTCTTTGATGACAGTAGCTGCTGGAGAAGAACTACAACGCCTTGGCATTGAAAGAAGACCAGCAGGAACCACCAGTGGCAGACAAGGTCAACAACATACTGCGACAGGACTGGTGGAGAAGCACATTGACCTGATCAAGCTCACCATGGTGAAGATCCAGGCAGAAGCCAGCAGATGGGGCATTGAAGTTCAAGGAGAAGAACTTGCAGCTGAGGCGTCAATGGCTCAGAACACAACCATGAGCGTTGGTGGCTACAGCCCCGTGACCATGCTGTTCGGCATCCTTCCTCGAGGCTTCATGGACCCAGAGGCAGCACTACATGGTGACATTGAAGAAGGAGCTGCAGAATCAACCTTTGAACGCAGCCTTCGACTACGCCAGATTGCTCTTCAAGCCTCTCAAGCAGCCATTCTTGAAAGCCGGATAGCCAGAGCCAATCGATCACGACCTCAACGACTTCGAGTAGAAGATCTGGTTCCTGGCACAACTACCGTTGAAATCTTCAGAGAAGATGGTAGCGGCCAAGGATGGCGTGGTCCTGCAACGATCCTGAAGATCGACGAGGAAGCTGGCAATGCAGTGGTGGACTTCCAAGGCAAACCCTACCTACTTGGCCTACGACATGTTCGACCTCTACGTGACTCCTTCCACATCCACTTCAACACCTCCTCATCAACTTCAACAGTTGCTGATGCCGAAAAGGCCATCACAGCCATGAAGGAAGTGGTGGAATCGAGCACTCCATACAGACCCTTCACTATGGGCGAGGTCTACATCGAGAACAACAACGAAGCCAAGATGGTGAAGTTTCCCAAGACAGAAAGTCCTACCACCAATGCGATGCTGAGCAACGCCAAGATCTTTCTCCAGTACCACTACGTGAACTTCGTGCTCCACGGCATCAAGTTTGGCAAGGGCATGAAAACCATCATGGTACCTCGTTACTCCAAAGGAGTGATGATCACATGGCCCGAAGGATCCTATGGCATTGCCATCACAGAGCACAACTCCGATGCACACCTGCACATCAAGGAGTATCAAGGAGTACCTCAACCGCAATGTGGACAAGCTCTGTCACCTCTACTTCTACGGCTATGTGTTCCACCAGAACGAGGAGAACAACATGCCCTTCAAAATCACCAAGAGAAAGATGCCCGAGCAACTTCCTCTACCTGAAGCCCAAGATCTACCAGACACTGAGATGGAGGAGCCAGAGGACAACAAGCGAAAAGGGCCTGACAGCAGAACAGTAGTTCTGGCACCAGAAAAGAAGAAACAACGCATCCAATGGACTTCACGAGACCTTCTCTACCAACGATCTCTTTGGTGGATGCTTCAACGGCCCAAGAAGTATGTCCTGGAGCCTCACTCAATCTGGTATGAACTTGAGGAAAGATGGATGAGGAAGAAAACCATAACAACCATGCCAACTGAGAATTACCTTCTTCATTGCCACAGCAGGACAAAAGCCTTCCTCGAGATCGACATCAAGAACTGGGAGATCTATCGAGTGGACCAGCAAACCGACACCTTGACTGAAGGAGATGTTCTACGACATTGGCCTCTCTTCGAGACTGCTGATCGTGAAGAACTACGACAGTTCATCGACCAGAACATCTTCAAGAAGGTCTGGCTGGGAGACTTGGAGGAAGGAACCACTGTGGTGGATGCAACATGGGTCAGGAAGTTCAAAAGACTTCCCAATGGTGAACTGGCTGCAAAGAGCAGGCTATGCGCCAGAGGATTTCTTGATCCTCAACGACAAGAACTTCCAACACGATCTACTACGGCCACACGACTGTCCCAGCGATTGGTGGTGAGCGTTGCAGCCACACACAACTTCATCTTGGCCTCGCTGGACGTCAGCGGTGCATTTTTGAAGGGCTTCACCTTTGAGAAGGTCCGACAAGTGCTGGCCAAAAGAGGAATTGTCTCACCTCCTCGAAAGGTTGTGGTGGTTCCTCCACCAAACACCTGGCGACAGCTGGCCCATTTCGACGAGAGCTTCTACGTGCCTGAGGAGTCCTACGGCAAGTTCGGGCTACTTTGTCAAAAGCCTGCCTATGGGTTGAATGACGCCCCACTTGCTTGGCAGATGAGCCTTCAAGAGACTTTAGAAGAAGGAGGAGGAGTCCAATCATTGCTGGACGAATGTCTTTGGCACTTCAAGCACCCTGATGGACGTTTGAAGGGATTGGTATCCACCCACGTGGACGACTTGGCCATTGCCTCCGGTGAACAGTTCTTGATGGAGCAGCAGAAGAAGCTCAACTCCAAGTACGGCAGCATCAAAGCACAGAGGACACCTTTCACTCACTGTGGTTGCCGTTACTCTGAACTCCCTGGAGGTGGCTACAAGGTGGACCAGCAGGACTTTGTGGACTCCCTCAAATGCCAGGAGATCACCAACACAGGTGACAACTCACGACCTCTCACTGCCGAGGAGCTCACCAAGTTTCGAAGTGCTCTTGGTGGCCTACTTTGGTTGACAGCAACTCGACTTGACTTGGTTGCTGATGTCAGCATCTTGCAAGGCAGGGTCACAAAAGCCACGGTGGGCGACATGCTGATGGCCAACTCTGTGATTCGCAAGGCCAAGCAGAAGCAGTACTATGGCATGGGCTTGACCTACAAGAGATTCTCAACCTCTACACCTTGGAGGCTCCTGACGATCCACGATGCCTCTGCCGCAGCAAAAGGGCGAAACTATGCTCAGGAGGGTGTGATCATTCTACTTGCTCCAGATCATCTACGGCTTGATCAGAAGATTCACACTCTCTGTGGAACCGATGTCAATGAAGAGGTCTTTGGTGGCCCCGCACACATTCTGTTTGCGCATGGTGCCAAGGCCAAACGAATCTGCTACTCAACGAGCCATGCAGAAACCTTGGCGGCCATCTCAGGCCTTGAAACATCAACTCTGGTGAGTTTGCGATTGGCAGAGATCCTGATGAAGGAGCGCAAGCCTACGCTACAACAACTTGCTGCCCTACAAGAAGGTGGAGTGGAGTTCCTGCCGGTGGACAGCTACACCGACTGCAAGGACTTCTTTTCCTTGACCACGGGCGCAACAGCCTTGCCACAGGACAAGAGCCAGAGGATCTACATCTTGGCACATCGAGAAGCCAGAATCAAGGGCCGTCTCAGATGGATCATCCTGGTGCCCACGGAGTACATGACAGCAGACCCTTTGACCAAAAGTATGTACTCAAGGCCACTTCTTGGACTGATGGCAGAAGGAGAAGTTCCCTTCTACAACAAGGATGGTCACCCAATTCAAGCTCGAAGATTACCAGTCATCAACGACTTCACAGAGGAACAGCTCGAGAAGGGTGACACCTCGTGGATGGAAAACTATTTGAGCATCGAGAACATCAAGCAGATCCAACACTACACTATCTCATCTCCAAGGAGTACGTGGTCATCGGCGAGTTCGAGCCGAACGAACCTTTGGCTGCTGACCTTCCTCTACTTTGCGAGCATTGCTGGTGGAATGGTTGAAAAGGAAGAAGCACAATGCAGTGCTGAAGAAGTTTCACATCAAGGACGGCACGCACAGGCTTTCCTCATGTCAGTCATGGTGATAGCGATTTTCTGCCTGGCCTACGTTTTGTATTGGACCAGACGAAGGTCATTGAATCAACTTCGACGCTACGTCCGAGTTCGAATGGTGGACGAAGTCACTCCAGTAGTCTACCGAGTGATGGACCTGGAATGCCACGAGATGCAAGCACGTGGCGAAATTGACCAACTTCAACGACAAGCTGCTGAAGCACGTGGAGATCTGGACATTTTGTTCAGGACAGTGAGGCATGCTTCGCCTCATCCCGATGAGCCTTCACAGCAAAGACGACGCCTACATGATAGCCGACCACCTCAAGCAGAACCAGATGGAGAAAGACCGAGTCAAATGGACGCACCAGAACCTGCCTCAGAAGGAGAAACAACATCGCAAGACGAAGATGAGATCGACAGGTTGGTGGAGCTGGCAAGACGTTCAAGATCGCGAGATGATGATCTACGTCCTAACCGAGCTCTTCACGCTGGCGCAGCGGGCGGAAGTGGAGATCGAGCTCTACACGCTGGCGCTGGCGATGGTGGTGGCGATGGCCTACCTGCAGAAGAAGAAGAACAAGAAGAAATGATGGAAGAAGATGATGAGTTTGCGGCATTTCCGCATGGCAACACCTCCGACGACGAGTTCGAGCAGAGGCACGAAACAGAACGTCGGCGACAGGAAATGAATTTCCGCATTCACTACATGCTGATCCAGGCCAACAACTTGGGAGTCGAGCTTCACACTGCTGGGCAGCGGTATTCGCAGGGAAGGATCCCATTTGGTCGCATTGAGCAGCTCTATGCAGAGCATGCGCCATTCTTTCCGCTGCCTTCCATGGACCCCGAGGTGGAAGACATCACCGTTGGGTACTTCCGCAACGAGTACTTCTATGTGCTGAGGATTGGAAATGAGCAGCCGCTCAACTTCCGATCGCTGGAAGGACTCCATGGATATCGATGCCACTACATCATAGCAGAGCAGGACGTGCGGCTGAGCCCTGACGAGAGGCGTGACCGATTGTACAACCAGCTGCAGTTCTACCAAAGACTGTAGCGTTTCACTGGGATTCCAACGACACAAGCCAGCAGCAACACGCTGAGCAGAGTCGACAGTTGGATTTCATCCCATGTGCATAAATCGAGAAGTGTAACAAGTTCAATCACCTGTACATCCCAGGTGCACCTTTAGGTCCAAACCACGGTAAAAGGCTGCCTACTTCAGTCCTGGAATATCCTGATGAAGTAGGTCAACATGTTGGATTTTTTCCGGTGCAGCAAACTGGCCAACGGCCCTGAGGAAAGTTTGTCCACACTATTGGCATCCATACCAATGGTGAAGCTTCTTGCAGGCGGTTGGCCACTCTTTGCCATGCTGGCTGCATCAGGTTTGACCACCTGGAGATCCCACCACTTGCGCCTTGATCTGATATCCATTTGGCATCATTTTGTAAACCATTGTTCATGATGTGAATTGAATTCAAAGGTTTGCATTTGATATCTAGATATATCTAGCAAGTTTGAAGGAACATCCCAACTGGCCCAACTGGTGATTCAACCTCAGTAGTTTCAGTTTTGCAGTGACTTGCATGTTTAAACATGCGGCCGGCATGCCTTTGGCATTTGATTGCCCACGCACATGCCAAGTCGCGTTGAGCTGTTGAAGAACCCTGAGGTATCCGAACGCACAAGTGCAGGTGTCGGATGTCACCAATGTCTTGAAGGTGGCAAACGAGATGGATCCACGGGTTTCCGACCTTACCAGGGCTGGGTCCAGCCATGTGCATAGATTCTTGACCGTTGGTTGCGAGGATGCAAGTTTTTTTATTTGTGTGTGTGCCTATGTTTTTGGGGAGATCCTATCAATTCGCGACCATGTGTGCCGAATGGAACCAGGGATTCACAGGGACCCCCAGGCTTTTTCTGAACAGTATACGTGATTCGCTACTTTCATCAGCCGGAGGAAAGTTGTGGCACCGTCTTGCCTCCAATGAATTGCCATCCCTACAGCCAATTTGGCCGCGGATATCCAAATGGCTCCTGCAAGCACCAGAGGGTACTCCACCAGTCGTCTTCATGACAATGATGTGGCTTCCCTTTGTAAGATGTTCGTTTCGCTCCTTTTATATGCTTATGTTGCTAGTTTCTGGGGGCTGAAATGCTCGGGTTCATTCATATATTGCTGAGTTTGTGCCAACAAGTAGCTACCGTAGTATGATCTAGCATGATATGTGCCCACCTTGCTTGTGAAAAGTATATAGTAAGTATGTAATAGTGCAAGGATGTTTGAATACTGAATTGACTGAATTGAAAACTTGCTGCTGGTTTTCCTTTTGAGGTGGGGATCTATGGGAAATCAGACGTGGACAGCAAGATTCTTGGACCGAGCAGCTCAGCAGAACCATCGGCAGAGTTGGCGTTCATTTTATTTGGGTGTAGGGATGTTGTATTTGATTAATGGGCATGGTGGGTGCTTCCATTGAATCAGTTTGTTGCGCTATGTTGCCCTCTATCAATAGGCTTAGAATGGCTTAGACTCTTAGACATTTAGACTTGTTTGGGTATCGCCCTTTTGCTGTCTTGCCCAGGCCATGGTGGTAGGCATCCCACGTTTCATTTTCATCAGCCCGGACGGGAACCTCCTGGAGGACTGTGAGGAGGTGGCTCAAAGCCATGGTCGGAAGGACAGCTACAAGCGACTGCTTTGCGTCAGATGCTGGGTAGCTGCAATGGACTACTGTAATTGAAGGGAATGGGGGTGGATGGCCATTAGAATCCATAAGATTTGGCAATTTTATTGAGGAACATCTTGATTAACTGTAAAATTTTGGGGCACGCCCTTTTTCAGACGAACCCAACAGATCAGTAGGTGCTTGGATTGTGCTATGGTCCGCATTTTTCCGTAGATCGTAGATCTACCATGATTTAGCGTACAATTTACCAATGATGCAGGAGCATCAATGAACGGTATGAACGGTATGAAGTCAGCAGGGGTTTGTGGATTGTGGATTATGGTGGGGCAATGCCTAGAGTCCACTGCGCGGGGTGTTTGAGAAAGCGATGCGACATTGCCTGCCAGCTCCTGGCAGCTAAGGATCTTTCTCCAGGTTTATGCGCCCATATGACGTCACTTGGCCTATTTGGATCGTTTGCACGGGTTCTAAAGTCAGACTACAACCGAGTCCCTTCCCGGAGGTCCCCACCAAGAGGCAGATGCCGCTGCACCTTTTCACTCCAAGTTGGGCTCGGTAAATTGAGCCAGTTGGTTTGATTGGCCCTTGAGCCAATTGAATGGCTTGAGCCTTGAGCCACATTGCAACAGTCGGAGGACGTCTCAACGACTGAAAAACTTTAAAAAGACCTTAGTGGGGGTGCAGTGGTACTCTGTGCAGTTTTCCCAACCGCACTCCCCCTTCCTGCTTGCAGGAATCCAGGTTCCCCAACACCAAAAACAACAATTTCAGGGGTGGCCACGTTTTCACTGGGAACTCGCCCTTCCCCCAGCCAGAAGGGCGAAGACCCTCGTGTGCCATGGTCCCAGGCTGGTGTTGGTTCCCCCTTCATCCAAGGGTCGCGTGGAGTTCCACTTCGGGTTGACTCCAAAAATTGAAAAACTACAGTCCTAACTTCGTAGGTTTTTGAATTCCCTCTCTCACCAGCTCCGCACTCGAAGAGCGCCCAACGGTGTTCTTTGGGTCCAGCAGCTGATGAGCTTTTCCCTGTATTGGTCTTTTCCACCGGCAGCTAATGATCTTTTCCTTGGGTCTTGATGATCTTTTTCTCCAGCCACCGATGTACTTTTCCCGGCGATCTATCCTTTTTTAATTCTTCTTTTTCTTTTTCTTTTTCTTTTTCGGTTCCCACTTGCAATAGGATCCGGGCTTCTTTTTCCTTCTGATCGCCTTGAGTTCCCATTGGTTGCGGAGCTATCCCTTTTGATGGTTTACCATGCCCCAAAAATTCCATCCCTCGAACTGCTACCTGATCCCTCGTTTCTGTGGGACCCGACCTTGGTACATCTTCAGCAGCTCGATGTTCTTTTCGCTTGGACCTGGCAAGATCCAAGTCCCAATGGTTCCCTTGTCCACCTCCCTGGATGGTCTTATGGAAGTGTTCTACTTTTCCCGCACTGTGCTCTTGGGGAACATGACCGTGGTGATCTTGTACCCGCAAAACTTTCCAAATTGATGGATTTTCATCCCAAAAATGAACCCTTTTTGGTTTTGAGTTACCCCTTTTGGATCTATTCCCCCGTTTTAGGATACCCCTAGGTTCTTCTTCTACAGGGTGTTCAACTTGTGCAGGAATGTTCTTCTTCTCCAAAAACGGTAAGACCGACTCCAACTGGACCCGATCCTTGACCACAGTCTCAGTGACGCGATACGCATCAGCCAGTACTTGCACCAGCCTTCCAATGGCAGTGCTCAGGGCTTCATGCCGGAATTCGGCTAGCTCTGGATATTCTTTGGCCAGACCAACCACCTTTTTCACCACTGATACGCACCGACCAGCGATGACTCGGTAGTTGTCCCATGAGGAAGTCTCCTGGTCTGGTTCTTCCGGATGGTGTTCTTCTCCCAGAGGTTGTTCTTCGCGACGGTTGGACCCTATTGTTGGTTCCTCATTTGGAACCCCGGAACCTTGGCGACTGACAAACCTCCAGAACCTTTCCCAATCTTTCCCAGTTTGGCTTCACAGCGATGATCTTTGACAGCAAATCGGCCACAAGTTTTTTCCCCGGAAGGTCTTCATTCCGACCATGTTCACCTTCTTCCGGTTGATGTTCTTCAAGACGTGCAATCCCCTTCGTGGATCTTGCCCTTGAAGCGTGCATTTGTTGATCTTGTTTCGGATCCACACTTGGAAATTCGGCGTCCCAGTTTTGTTGATGTTCCAGGCTGATTTTTCTGACGATGAACTCCCCCGAGTTTGGACTTCCAACTTCTTTTGCAGGTGCCTCCCCCGAGCCTTGATCATCTTGTCCTGAAACTTTTGAAACACAAAAGGTTGAAACTTTTGAACAGACACCGGGCTCCCCCCCTGCTGGTTCATCAGCAGGCTCCTTTTTAAATCTGGAGATTTTGGTGGAGACTTTATTCGCTTCTTCCCGCGTGAAACGTCGGTCGTTCCTCTTTTCTGTGTCCATGCGCTCGATCTCGGTGATAAGAGCCAGGGCGTGATCCCTTCGGACCACTGGACACCCAGACCGCTCCCAGCATTTGATTTTTCCCAGTCTTGGGTGTTTCACCGCACATCCTGCACGGGACCATGTGATGGTGTATCCCAATTCCGCAAGTCCTCTGAGAGGAACTATAGGTTCCACCGGACCTTCCGATAGAAGTGTTCCATTCATGGGATTTTGGTAGAGCTGCGCGGCTCGGTGAGCTAACTCCACAGTGACCTGCACTGCATTCTTGATCTCGTCGCTGGTACCCTGTCGTAGGGGGTGTGTTGCACCACCATCCAAGAGACCCGTGTCTTCAACTTCGGGATCCCCACCATTCCCCAACGACTTCAGCATTGGCCCCGCGATACCCTTCATGTGGTGGTTCACCTCTTGAACCGCTTGAGCGGCTCGTTCGGGTCCGGGATTGATAGAATTTTTTGGAGTGACCTTTACGGTTTTCGCTTCGCACGGTCCACATTCCGCTCTCTTACCAATGGTCTTCGGCATGGGTCCAGTAATGCTTTTCAGGAGATGGTTCACTTCTTGAATCACTTCTTCACTTCTTCATTTTCCGGAGTGATTTGCGCGGCAGTTTCCGCCTCATCCAATCCACCTTCAACGCTTTCCGGTGCGCCCGCATCTCCTTCTCCTACTGACCCCCCTTTTGGTTCACGTGACTCACTTCTTTTCCCAGCAGCACACTCACGCTTGGAGTGCCCTTTCCCAGAACACTTGGAGTCCAAGACGGTGTGCACAAACCGGCATCGTTCTGCATATCGGCACCCCTTATCAGTCAACCAGTTGACACACGCCGTCTTGTGGACCACATTAGCCGCATTAATTGGCAGCTCCGGTTTCTCCCCCTTCTTCCGGTTGAAGAGCCAGCTGCATCATCTGGTTTTCCTTTTGAACCGCCCTTTGGTTGATTTCCAGATTGATCCGGTCCACTCATAGACTTCACCCCTACCACATTGTTGGGCTTAGTCGTTGGGCCCTGTATTGTGTTCCCCGGTTGACGGAGAGCCATTTGACCAGCTTCAGCTTGAAGAAGTTCAGAAAACGTTCTGATCTCTTGCATTCCTGGCCGGAGATCGATGCCCAAATGCTGCCTCACCGAAGACAATCGGTAGGCCGCCTGAGCTCCCCCCAACCTGGCTAGTGCATCACTCATTTTTGCGACCACTCCGGCCAAAACCAGAGGATCGGGCAAAACTAATTGAAGTTCTTCGGCACGAACTACCCACCTTCTCCATTTCCGGATGGAGTTGACCATCTCTGCAGCATCATTGGATGGACCCTTCCAGTCCACCAACATTTGTAACAGAGAAGTTCTTTCCACTTGTCCTCCAGGCTGGAAGACGGTGTACAGCTTGAACATGACTTGACCCGCTGACATGTGTCTGTTCGCCACAAGGTCCTCGTAGATGTCCTTGGGGACGGCTTGAAGCAGCATACCCACCACCCGGTTCTCTGTGCGAGGCCACCCACGGCCCATATCAGGTATCACAGGCGCCATCCGGAGCCTCATAAGTGGATCCGCTTGCAACCAGTGATGGTAAGCATGTTCCACAGCAGTCATAACTACTCCCCACCATTGTGCTGAAGTGTAGCTCACATCCCCGATCATTTGTTGGACCACTGTCAGCCAGTCTCCAAAGTCCAAAGATGTTGCATTTCTGTCAAGCTTCGGCAGCTCGACTGACCTTAGTGTTTCACCTGGTACTTCGCCCCCTGCCAGAGGTCCTGCTTGGACTACAGCTTGTTGTTGTTGTTGTTGTTGTTGTTGTTGTTGTGGCGGCACAGCTTGTCCTGGATTTCCTTGATAGCCACCTGTCTGACCTGGATTTCCCTGATGACCACCTGGCGGACCAGGTGCTTGTCCCGGATTTCCATACTGCCCCGGCGGTGGACCCCCATGGCCAACCATAACCACCCATAGGTTCGGTGTTTCCACCCGGAAATACAAAACCTCCATGAAGTCGATGATCTTGTCCTGCAGGTGCTCCTCCAACTTGGGCTTGAAGATTATACCATTGATTAGGTTGATCACCAATGAAAAAGTGTCTTGTGTTTTTTGGAGCTCCCATGCAAGGAGCTCCCATCGGTGGTCTTGACGCCGCTCCCTGCGGCATACCTCCCGGTGGTATTCCATTCAGCCACCCTTGATTCATATACACATCCATCGGCCGAAGACATGGTTCGACCCTGGGCGCAGGAGGCACATTCCACAACGGACCTCCCGCCTTCATTTGAAGATCCTGATCATGATGATGTTGAACTCCCGGAACTGTTTGATCTTGTACAGGTTGTCCTTGGGGTGGAACACCTTGAGATGGCCCCACAGGAAAACACTGCTCGACACTCTTTTGCTCCGGAGAGGCGGTTTGATAAGACCTCCCACTTGATTGAGAGCCCTTGTGACCTCCTCCTGCTTCTTGGACCCTTTCTAGGGCACGTCCCTCTTTCTGCGTGGCTAACCAATTTTCTCGATCTTGTTGGATCTCAGTCTTGCCCCGCTGAAGGACTTCCATTACATGTTGTTTCAACTCTTCAAACTTTTCTTTCTCCCTGGCGTCAGCCTGATCAATCAAGTCTTGCGACACTGCGGGATAAGTCGGCTCCTTCACTGGAGTTTGCGGGCTGCTCATTAAAGCTTCCACTCGCTTTGCAGCACTCCAGGGATTCATTTCTTCTACAGCCATAACCCCAGTTACCATCCCAGGATCCACAACTGCAGTTTCCCACTGAGGTGCCATTCCCGTAGGTGGCACACCAGCACACATTGATTGCTGGGACATCCCAGCTGCTTGCAAACCCTGTGCCTCACCAGTTGCGGTATACACCACATATGTTCCCGCTGGCTGGTAGGTTACAGGTGGACTTGTTGGCGCCGCTGGCACCACTTGTTTGACACGTGCATCTTCAGGAGATTCAACAGGTGAACGTCCCGGTCGCTCCAAAAGAGCAATTGTTTCTACAACAGCAGCCGCACCTCCACCCACTTCAGTTGAGCTTTGGTGTTTTCCACCCTGTCTTTCTTCTCGATTACCCACAACAGGTGGTTCACGAGATCCCTCAGACATCCGGGCAACTCCTGGTGTCTGCGCGATTGGTACTCCCGAAAGAGTTAGACTATTCACCCCTGGGGTCAAACCAGACAACAAATCACCATTCCCTTTTCCTCGTACCACTACAAGTCCAGGAGGTTCTTCAGGCGGCAAGGACACTGGTCTTGCGACTTCTTCCGCAACAGCCGGATTCTGGGCAATTTGTTCGCCCGCTCCAGCTCGGACCGCCACAACCTGCGCTAGGGCTCCACTTCCCCCAGCACCGGTCAGTGCCATTCCCCTTTCTCCAACTCCCTTTCCCGTTAGTGATCTTCGGGTCGAGTCTGATGATCTTGTCCCTGTTTTTTCCCCATGTTCTTTTCCAGGTGTGTTCATCTCTTCCAGAAGCCGATCCAGCTTTTCATCTGCCGTTTCCGCGCATTCTTCTTCAGCACGAGCAGCCGCTTGAACTTGACGTTCTTGTCGACGACGCTGAGTGAAGTCGCTGCTCGACATGGCTTCAGGGCAGCGTTGGGGTTTGGCTCATAACCCACGGGTTCTAAAGTCAGACTACAACCGAGTCCCTTCCCGGAGGTCCCCACCAAGAGGCAGATGCCGCTGCACCTTTTCACTCCAAGTTGGGCTCGGTAAATTGAGCCAGTTGGTTTGATTGGCCCTTGAGCCAATTGAATGGCTTGAGCCTTGAGCCACATTGCAACAGTCGGAGGACGTCTCAACGACTGTGAAAAACATTAAAAAGACCTTAGTGGGGGTGCAGTGGTACTCTGTGCAGTTTTCCCAACCGCAGTTTGAAATTACTTGTGTTTTTTGCATATTTTTGCAACTCTCTTCTTCTTGTTGTGCTGTTTCAATGATTCCAAAAATCCTCTTTGACCATCTCTGCACCAAGCATGATCAAGAATGGCAGGTGAACAACTACGCAAAGTTTGTGTTACTTCCTCTTTTGCTCGCGCTTGGCATGAACTACGCATGGTTGGATATCGACATTTTTGTGGTGCAGAATCCCACCAGTCGACTGCTGCAACTTGCAGATGTTCTTTCAGCAGATGTCCTCACAACAGATCACTTTGATGAGAGCTGCTTGAATCATGGAGCGACTTGCCATGACTTGCCGATTCTGGTATGCTTCATATATGCTTAATTTGTCTTAGTTCAATTGTGTTATGCCGCTATACCATGCTATACCCTGCTTCCAAATTGTGTTTGCAATGTTTATCATCCAATTCAATGCCTCCACTCCTCCCGCGGTGATAGCACCCTTAGCAAATGGAGCATGGTGCCGGATACTTGGCCTTTGGGAAGCTTTGCTGCAACAAATATGTATGTCGCATATTGTGGCATGATATATGTTGGCAATCCTTACCATGAGTTCGTATTTTTTAACGTCAAGTTTTGCTTTAGATTGTTTTACAATCTTTAGCTATGGCTGGTGTCACAATCCAGGAGGCACATGTGGAGAAGTGAATAGATTCATGAAATATTCATGAATATTCAATATGGAATATATGGAATATATGGATCAATATTGCGGTTTTCGTTTTTTTCCGGTCCATGGAGTCCATGGGTCGATCCCAGCGCTTCGAGGTGATTTTTGTGAAGGCATCCGATCGAACACTGCATTGGATCTTGAGATATATCCGATGGATGCATGTGAACCCTTTTGGACATGACCAAAATGGCTGGGATGATCCTTGGCACTTGGCACTTTAAGCAGACTTTCCATGACTTTCCCAGGTTTCACAATATATTGCGATACGATGTAATACTGACACCCACATAATTCCTATATTATTATTATTGTTATTATTATTGATATTGCAATACATCACAGCAATGTATTGTAATTACACGTGTATATGTATATTTAATATACACACATTCACATATTTTTATACTTATCATAACAAAAAATCGCACGTTTATATTTTTTTGGCTTGGCTCTCCTTTAGCCTTTGGCTAGACTCCTGGAGATGGCGATGGAGAGAGAATTTAGTTTTTTTTTTTCCTCCCCATACCACAACATCCACAACATCGGCGAAAAGAGGCCCTGCTGAAGCACTCCATCTTGAACGAGCCCTTCACCCCACCCGAGCCGAACGTGAGCCTTCAAATTCTGGACACTGGCCTTGACGCTTGCCTTGCTTCAATTTGCTTCAGATCGGTTTTCTGACAACCTACTGTGTCATGTGCTGCGTTAGTATGCTTTAGTTCAGATTTCCAGTAGGACTCAATGACTTAACTCATTCATTTTGACATATTTTGACTCATTGCATGGCTCTTTCTGCGAACACCGCTGTTCATCACCCAGGAGTTCCTTACTCTAACAGGTTGGGCTGGAAGCACCGCTGATCTCACCCAAGCGCTGTTGCTGCATCTCACGCGGACCACGCCCATCGATGGGCACGAGAAGCGTAACTTTAAAGCTGTGAGTTTTACTTTGGTGATTATGGTTTAGGTTTATCATCATTTATGGTATCATTTTCCCCAATATTTGATGGAAATTTAGAGATATTTAGAGCACATAAACTCAGTCCCCGCGAAGGTAATGAGTTTAATGAGGCATGACCCCTTTCCAGTTGAAGGGAACCTGAAGGGAACCGATCGATTTGTTGTCATATGTTGTCACGAAGGGGGGCCGGAGGTGGAAGTTTTGCCCTGAAGGGTGGTGCGTCTTACCCTGAGTTCAATTGAACAAATTGAAGAAAAGGAGTGAACAGTTCATAGAACTCCTGTGCTTTGTCCGGTTCTTGATTGTATAATATTGTAATATATTGTATAGGACCGCCCTAAAGCATAGAAAGACAATGAAATGTAAGAGCACTGTAAAAGCCTATGTACTAGAATAAGTAATTTGTTTTTCTATGATTTCTATGTTTTGGGCGTGAGCCTCTGCAAGACCCCAAACATCCTCAGGTAGCACCTTTTTCACTTTGCTGGATGCCACTTTGACGAGCACCTCTCGCGAAGATGATTTGCAGGTGCTTCATAGTGTGATTAATGCCATTCGTCGCTCGACCAAATGGAGACGATCTGTTTGTGGTGCCTAGTGTAGATGCCACTGATGTTCAGCTGAACTTGTTGTGGAACTTGTTGCTGAACTTGCTTAAACTTTCCACCATCTGTCCACCACTAGCTCAGTAGTGACATGCCAACTCAGCCAAGCCAAGGCAAAGACGTGCCACAGACAAAGCGACCATGCTATGAGGGAGTGCATGTTGCTGTGGAACCACTGGTTCATGATGGTACATACTGGCTTTTGTTCAAGTGACGCGGAAAAGAGCCTCAGGGGACATGTTGCAAGCGTCAATCATCCCTTACAAGGCGTGTGGGCCGTGCAGGCCCTAGGCCGTTCATAGAGAAGCAGGATCACCGGATAACACTGGTGACATTTGGTGATAATATGCGACAATCATCGATCACCACATCGACTCCCACCGAGGGGTCCTTGCAGATCGCCGCTTCACCTGCTTTGCGACAGTTGTTGCAGACGTACCCAGAGTGGCGCGTGCTTGTTCGCATGACTGGAGGCAGCGAAGTTCGGCAGCGATGACACAGCCATCTCCGAAATGTATGTTGTATATTTTTGTATGAGTATGTACAGTATGTATCTTATTCATCCTCAACAGATGTCTCAAGTCCACCCAAGGCTCCCGGATTCACAGTGTTTCAAGGTCGTCCTTTGTGGGGTGTTTGTCGCCCCACAGCCTGATAGGGTGATGTTGCCAATGACATGAACACACCACCAATTTAGCGGATCCATAGTGTTGCCAAATTATCATCGAACAGAGTATGAAATTACTACAATGTGATACTTTGATATACTTTGTGGATATATACATATATATATAATAAGTATATATATATATATATTTGGTTCCAGTTTGCAGTGCTCTTGTGGTCGGAACTGGTGGGCCCACATTGTCGTTGTGTTAGGTGGCCATTTGAGCACCATCCGGCTTGGCATGGATCCTTTGGACATTCCTGGTGGCTGGACCGCACTGCTGGACATTGGCTGAGTTCTGACCATAGAAAAGTCATGTTTGCACGGTGCCACACAGCGATAATATGTGCCATGGTCACAAGATGGAAGAATGATATATCCGTATTGGGGGATGGTCATCAGTCCATGGGGGGCTGAATATACCCATTGTAGGGAATCCTTAATGGTCTTAATGATGGGATGATTGGGATGGCCATAGCTTGAGCTCAGGCCTTCATCCGCCCATAGTGATGGCAGCTATTCTGGAGGCCCTTGGCGCAGACATCAAATAGAACTTTGGACACAAAATTGCTAAGATGTCACAGGATGTCACATTTTGACTTGAATCAGCTTGAAGCCAGCAGTCATCCCATCGTTCCATGATGGTCCCTACTGTCTCCCGATGTCTCCCAATCAAGATGCTGCCAAGCTTGAAATTGGTGCACCATGGTGGACCGCCCTGTACTTCCTATGAGGCATCTCCAATGGCTGCTCCACATTTGCATGTGGCCGATCGCCCGGCATGTGAGATGATCTCACAGGTCAAGGTTTGGTCAAAGGAGCCTTTGTGGTTTGGTGAAACCATGAAAAATATGAAATGATATGAAAGTTGGATGTTGGATCAAAATCAGACACTCCGTACCTAAGACTCTGAGGTGTGTTGATTATTCTATATTGATGATAAATGATGTGTTTTTTTTCTGGACCCCTCATCCTGGTTCATAATGTGTCATATGTGTTGGGATGTTTTGGGGACAAGTTTGAAGCTTAGACACCCGCTTTGGCTCATCTTTTATCCAAGTTCATCCCTTATTGTCAGAGAGAGGGAGGGAGAGGGAGAGACACCTTGCAGAATGTTGCAGACTGTTGGGCAGACTGTTGCAGCTACTGGAGCAGCTTCGGTGAAGCTTGGCTGGAGGACATGGAGCCAGCTGCAAGCTTTGACTTTGGCTGCTTCCACGATGGCTTCTGGGAGGCAGACGGGAGACTTTCGGATACAGAGAGATCTGCGCTTCAGAGAGAGGCACGGAGTGTATAGATGATTGTAGATGTACTGTATAATGTACTGTATGTATAGTGACTAGTGCAGTCAAGGGTCTGACCCAGACTAGACTCTAGACAAAATTTTACGAACATGGGCACATTAGAGAGGCCCTGGCCAAAAAAAGATTATATATAGATGTAAATTTAAAGGTGCAACAATGCAAGAGGTATGCAGATGCTATTCGACAGGCCATTCTTGAAGATCCTCGACCTGGATTTGATGAAGCTTTGTTTGTGGAGGACTGAAGTAGGGATGGCCATGGATCAAAGAGATGGACACTTGGGACCAGGATGAGAAGATTCTCCCTTGAGCAAGTCAATGGTGAAAGCTGAGGTGGCCAAGGGTCCTTTTAAGGTCTTTAAGACAGGAATTTACAGGAGGATATGACATGATAAGTATAGGCAACAAAGCTGATACAAAGAGTCCGTGTGGGGCAGTGCAGTCAGCAAGCTCTCAAGCCGCAGGATGTCTTGGTTGCCCTGACTGTCCATCACCAAAGCACGTTCTCCTTGAGAGCCTTCAACACCCTGGGCCGTGATGGTTTCAGTCCACATCCGCTGCATTTTGGCTGCAGATCACGTAGCAACTTGTGAATCATGCCCAACAGATCCCAACAGATCCCAACAGATCCCAACAGATCCCAACAGATCCCAACAGCCCAAGTGACGGGTCATGACGGGTCAGCGATCACATGAATCCTCGGCAAGCCCAGGTCTAGCGCACCGCTCATCAACAAAGAGTTTGGAAATGGATTTCATTTGATCCGACAACATTTGGGACGTCGTACACGTAGCCGGGCAGAGACATCACATGCCTTCCGTGACAATGTCTTTGCCCCACTACATTGAAAATGTATGAACATGTTAAAATTCCCTCGTTCGTCGAACACCACCATGTCAGCTTCGCACAAAACATGACCTCGTTCCATTGCCCACAGAGGGGTCGACCAACAGCTGGTGATTGTTTTTTAATGTGTTTTTATGCTTTTGATTGTGGGTGCTGTGTGATTATCGCTTCAGCCACCTCGGTCAACTCATGTCAACTCCCAGCTGTGGACTTGCAGGTTATTTGCGCTTGGCATTTCATGGGAATGCCGCTTGTATTATCTTGGATGATGATGGCTGGATTACGTATATACCGCTGAAAGTTTGCTAGATGCTCTTGAACTGCAAGCCGTGTTTCTATTCATTTGCTTTTGCTGGTCACTTCAAACTCATTTCTGCTTCCTCCATTGCACGTCCCTAGTCATTGGCAGTTGTGCCCTAGAGCTTCGTTTATTTCAAGTCTTGCTTGGTCGGTCCCATGACAACTTACCCTTGACTCCCCCATCCTGTCGGCTGAAGCAGCTGCTTTATTCTTCTGTCATTACATTGAATTGGTACCCCAATCGAACAGAGCATTCTGGCTGTAATTAGTCTCTATTAGTCTCTATACTTGGCAGATCTTAGCAGAATGAATTATCAGCTTCCTTTGCCAACTGCCCGCCCCTAGCCGCTAGCCTAGTGATCCTAGTGGTCCTAGTGCCTCAGGTGACGCTTCACGGAGTGGAAGCCTTTTGCATAGAGTTGTTCCCTCTGCAGGGGCCAATGCCACAGACCATCCGCAGCGTTGTTCCTCGCTAGCAAAATGATCCATCAAGTCGGTTGGCTTCCAATTTTTGCTTCATGTTCACAGAGGATGAAGACAGACTGGATGAAATTGAGATTGATTGAGATTGCAAGGATTTCTATGGATGTAGATGGATGTAGGTTGTCCTTGTCAGGTTTGCCCTTTGTCCATGTCCTGTGATGTCACTTTGAACACCTCTTCAGCTTAGATCAAAGTCTTCGAAGCGGAGCCTGCCATTGCCATCAAGCAAGACCAGAAATACCAGACGCTGGGCCGCAGAATTGGGGTGCAGCAATTAGTAGATATAAGTTAGCATCAATTCTGCTTGGGACATGGAGTCGATGGGTTTGGATTATAGACTAAACTGTCTTGAAAGCTATCCATGAACATGAAAAGCTAGAACCGTTGCATTAAAGACAGATGGCTCAGGTGGCAATGTTGAAAATTTGACAACATCTAGTAACTTAGTATATCTGTCATATCAATCATCGATTATACCGTATACCCTATACCCCATGCATGGACACGAGCAGTCAGCTCCCAGAAGACTTGGCTAGGGCTCAAGCTTTGCACATTGCGGATTTACAAGCTAAGAGGACTAAGCGGCAAATCCTAGGTGCACATATTGCACGACAAATTTGTGACATTGTCCCAACTTATCAGTTATGAGATTTTCAAGTAGCATGTGCAGGTGGTTAGTACTGTTTCCGGAGGAAATCGCGAAAATAATGCATGCCCAGCTCTACAGATCTCAGCGCGAATCCAGCAATCTAGAATGATCTCGGATATTCTTATGATTTCTATTATTTCTAATGTACTCACTCTTTTCCTCCACCAGTCCGTCGATTGATTCCGCCAGCATGTTTGGCCAAAAATGCCCTCCTTAGCCCTGCGGCATGGCACAGAGAGTGCCGTCTGCGACTGCGACTCTTAGCGACGATTGTTGGGTGACTTGGCTCTCTGTAGCACCAGTTCTGAGATGGGAAATCTATGGAAATCTGACTCACGGGCTGTTTTGGCACCAGAAAGATGAAGATCTAGTGGAACTTTGAGTGTTGGGAGCTTCAAGTCAGGAGAAGACGGAGACCATCCCTTCTTCCAAGCCATGTTTACACATGTTTACACCAACCCATCCCGAAGCCCTGCTGAGTGCCATATATGAACTTGTTATATCATGTTATATTTTTGTTTATCGATTTGTTTATTTAGTTTATTTAGTTTATTGTCTTTGGTATCCTACCAGCAGTGCCAGCAAGGCGATCCTTTGTCGTGAAGGTGTTTGCCAAAGTCTCGCTTTTCCTTCCTTGCAGCTTGACAAATTTGCTGACGTGAAGCCACATCGACTTCAGGTAGACGTCTATCAGATACCGAGATTTGAAAGGAATCAAAGGTCTTAACTGGACCGGAGTGTATTGCAGGATGAACCTGATGCAAAAACATCTGGAAAAGTAATGAGACAGTCAGTAAACTCTAGTATTTCTAGTTCAATCTTTGTTCCAGCCTGCGGGAAAGACAAACCACTGTGGTGTTCCCTTTTGAAACTGTCGTTGGGCGACTGAAGCGCTTGAGGGTGCAGCTTGCACAATGCCGGCGGGTATTGAAAAGCGCCTGCATGACTGAAGATCACTTTCTACGACTCAGACAC